TCACTGAGTACTATCCAATGTTTTGTTTCCCTACCCACCAAAAGGAAAAGTAAGCCACAGCAAATCAATACTGCTTTCATGAAATTTTTCTTAACTCTAACAATAGTATTTTTGTGAATATCAATACAGATTTAATTTCATTCCAGTCTAATGTACACTGTTAAAATAGCCCAAGATTACATTTATACATTTTTATTATAGTGCATTTTATATCTCTGTGTCTTTCTACAACCTAAATACAATAAAAGGTAATGGAAGAGAGTTTTCATTGGGGTGAAATGCAAGCAAAGAATAAGCAGCAGGTCCATTGTCCTCTGAAGACAGTTATCACTTCCTCAGAACCACACACAGACTCACAGTTTCTGTCATAACAATATAGGAACTGCTTGTCTACTTACTTTTGTAAGTGTACAAAAGCTGATTGTTAGTTAGAATAATTTCGGGCATATGAGTCTTCAGCATTCTCCTAAAAGTCTTCATTCAAGAAATTAGAGTGAGGCAAGGAAGCTCTTGGAATTCCCTAATTCTATGAAAATCCTCTGAAATTATGAGCAATTGAATTTATTCCTATGTTTTTGAAGGAATCATCCAGGTCTAGGTATTATTTAGAAGGGACTTGTGAGTCTCTAAGCATAGAATAAATATTGGATAAATAAAAAGACAAAGCACAGAATCCTCAACCAACCATTCAACCAGCCAATGGACTCAGAACCCTGTTATTCCCCAGCATCTACATTCCTTAATTTAAAAAGGCTAACATATTATAGAAGAGGTTCTGTAGGCCAATATAGAACTTCATGTTTTTTTAAAATTGACATTATGAAGGGTTTTTAAAAAGATTTTATTTATTTATTTTTAGGGAGAGGGAAAAGGAAGGAGAAAGAGAGGGAGAGAAACATCAATGTGTGGTTGCCTCTTGCGTGCCCCCCACAGGGGACTTGGCCTGCAACCCAGGCATGTGTCCTGACTGGGATCTGAACCAGCGATCCTTTGGTTCACAGCCCGCACTCAATCCACTGAGCTATACCAGCCAGGGCAGAACTTTATGTTTTTTATATTCTTTAATTTTACTGATTTCAGAAAACATAACGGGTTTGTTGCCATTACTTTTATAATCCCCCTTTCCACACAGCTCACCCATATTCGCCTCTCTAATCCAGCAATTTTTCTCCACAGGGCAAAGGTGAAGGAGCAAAATTATTTTTTATTTCTTTTCTAGTCCATCTTATGGTCCAAAGTATAGGCTAACTTTTCCAAAAATTTGCCAAATGTGTGCAAAAATAGTATGACCTAACTCTGAAGTATAGAAATATATTCTACTTCTCTTTGAGATATGAAATAGAGAAACACATTTTGTTTATTTTTAAGCATTGTATAGACAATCTGTCTTCAAGCAAGGTTAAGGCACTGTGCATATTCCTTGAAAAAAGGGTTTCTTGGCAGATTTTACCAATTGATATTGCGCAAGTTACTCCACCTCTTTTAAATGCCGGTTTTCAGATCTACAAGTGAGAGACAATGATAGTATTGATACTTACCTCATAAGAGAGTTGTGAGGATTAAAGGGGTGAGGCATGCAAAGTGCTGTTGCACATGAGAAGGTGGTACACACGTGAAACATGCTGCCCCTTACTACCAGTGGCTCGAGTGGCAGTATTATTTTAAATAATAAAACAGAGGGATAAAATGGTTGATAGAAAGAAATGTGGCAATGGCCCGGCTAAGATTCCAAGCTATTTATTTCAACAGTAGAGGAAATGAATTCAGAGGAAATGTCGGCCTGACAAAAGGAAGGATCTCTCTGTGGGGCTGAACTCGGGAGAAGTGTGCTAAGGATAGTGAATCCCATAGTGAATTTAATAAGTGGAGTCAGATACCTCTGCATGAGTTTGATTTTACAAAGTTGGCGAGGAAAATGAAATTATTGAAAGATACTGTCTTTCCAACTGAATATTAACTATGTGCCAAAAGTGCACTAGGTGCTCTCATCTCATTTAATTCATAACTGTATTAAGAAATATTATCTTATTCACGCTTATTTTATAGTCTCCATTTAATAGAGATAAGGAAACTTGGTTTCAGAAGTATTAAATAATTTTTTCAGAGCAATCCAAAAGACAGGCAGGAGCAAGAATGTAAATGCAGGGCTACATAGCACAAAAATCTACCAACATTTCAAAGAGGTAGAGACACAGCTCACAAATTTTCTAAAGTAAAGAATCTTAAAAAAGAGGAGGGAGTCTCTTTTTATTTATTTTCAGTAGGGAGAGTTAAGTCTTACTTTAAGTTGTATTTATTTTTACATAGTCTTCATACTTTACTTACAAATCATGCATTTTATTTTCTTGTCTAGCCAGTGACCAAAATGCATATCCTTTATAACTTAACAAAAATAGTGTCATAATTAAGGCATCATTACTTCTAAAGTATTTTAATTTTATTCTAGAGATTTAAAAAATGTTAATGGTATGACAGAAAGCATAATACACCTCATGAAATGTAGTGTTTTATGTAATAAAGTGTATATTACTTTAATGAGAGATTTTTGTTGATGAACATATTTTCTAAATAAATATTAATTGAGTGTCCTCTGTGGTTCAGGCACTGTTCTAGACACCTAGCATATTTCAGTGAATAAACCAAACAAAAGAAACTTGAGTTTATGGGGCTTGAAGTGTAAAAGGAGAAAGGTATATGGCATGGTGATGAAATCTAGGACTAAATTAGAGTCACAGAATAATGATTGGGAGTGTGAGAACGGGAGTGGGTTTGCAATTTTAAATTTTCAGAGTATGCCTCATTGAGATGACTTTTCAGTAATGCTTGAGGTGAATGCCACAATTAATTTAGGAGTAAATATTTTAAATTTTTTCTTTGAAAAAATAGAGGAAAGAAAATCAGGTATGTTATCTTAACCTTACCAGCTATTACTGAGCCAAGGACAGTGTGGTTCCAACCCAACATAATATGTTGTTGGGGGAAGGCCCGATGCTGAAACTTGGTGCTTGGTAATGGAGAAGGGCACAGATGGGGAAGTCTCTGCCTGTCCTCGAGAAGAATTTCTAGGATGCATCAGTTACATCTTCCCAGCTCTGTACATCTTTCTTAAAGTCTTAGAACTAAGACAAAATTATATAGATATGGCGATTATGTCACTCAGTCATATATGTTGTTTCAAGTGCTGCCAGAATAACTGGACTTACACAAAATGAAATATGGCTTTTCATAGGGTTACAATCAAATCACCTTATTGTGTTAGCAATGCTGTCTTCAAATAAAATCTGCTGTTACTCACATTAGGTGACTTACTGGTTGGAGGTTTGTCCTTTGATGACTTAAACAGAAGAAGAAATTTCTTGTGGCTTCACTCTTTATCACTGAAATGGTTCTCCAGGGAAGGCTGAAGACAGGTGGAGAGACCATTGTGATACTGAGAGTTTAGAGTTAGACTACAGCCCAGCAGGTTCTGTTAAAGAAATATGCTTACCTAGGAAACAAGTGTTTTTTCCCTCCATTTGGGAGAATCTGATAATCTTTTATTTGCAGTGTGTGGCCTTAATAGTAACTGTGGAGTTCTAATAATCTGAAGTCACTAATTCCAGTGCTGTCAAAGCTGATGAATTCCATCTCTAGAGAATTTTGGCAAAGATGTTTCCATTAAACCTAATTTTTTCCCGACACTTTGTAACTTTTTTTGTCATCTTCAATTAATATTTATTTCTGCCTAGTACTACTACTGTGATGATCAGTCATTTTTGTAATGTATCAACTACAAATTGGAAAAGCTTCCGGGCCCGGTTTAGTGCGGGGTCTTTCTGTTCAAGTTCCTGTCTGCAGCCATGGATCATATTCTGTTCCCAGATTTTATCCTTAACTTGGTTAGTCAGTTTGCTCAGTGATATTACAAAGCAGGTTTCTAAGCAGTTTTGTAGCCTAGCAATTTTGTTTTGTCTGGGAAAAAATCAAATTTCTTTAGGCAAGGCATGTCCTCTCTGGTTCAATATACCTTTCCTTACTGACTAACTTAAATGTTTACTTTACCTGCCTGGTCCCTGAAATATCTCTATTTCATATCTCTACAAAAATGAGAAAGAATGAGTTCCAGTGAGGAAAATAACTTCAATATTTCACATGAAAATTTAACATTTGAGTTCAGTTGCTGACAACTAAAAAGAAAGAAACAGTTTTGGGTGCAGGGAGGCAGTTGAAATATTTTCGGGAAGGACACAAAGTTTCCTTTCTGCCCAGTCATCGGTTTTGAGATTGACAAACTGAGTATGACTGATAACTATTGGCTCTTGTTTATGACACGGAGATGTTTAATTGTTTGCTCATGTTATACCAGACACAGTGAAACTTTATCTTACATGTCCCCACTGCTTCACTTTTCTTATGGAATTCTCTCAAACCTCATGGTACCCTGGTTGCCATGCATACCCCTGATTATAACTGTGTGGAAGTATGTATGGGAAGATATATGGAGAGGACAGGGACTTTAAATTTGAAATGTAGGTCTCATTCAACCAGTGTGTAGAGTATAGTTTGTTGAACAATATGGATGAATTAAATTTTTCTCTGATGATGATTGTAGTTTTGTATGGTAGAAGAGACCAGTGCAGCAAGTGGTCTTGCCAATAGTGTGTCTGGTGGCATGGATTTTGGTGGCACTGCTTCAGATCAAAATGAAATTGGTAACAGTCCATCTGGCCCACATTGATTTGATATGGGTGCAATAAGTGGATTATCTGGTTCTAATTCTGCTTCTAGTGAAAAAGATATTTTAAGTCGTTCCTTACTTTATTTTTTGGACAGAAAAAATCATCAATTAGCAAAACAGGGATTGGTGGTGGTATTTTTGACAAATACAGACATTGTTAGAGGAACTTACAGGAAAGATTTTTTTTTTGAGTTATCTTTGATCCTTAAAGGATCTGTGTTAACTTCAATAGCAGTTTAAACATTTTAATAAAGAGATATGTAGATTTAGTACTTTTATGAAGGAGTGTGGAGCTGGAGGAAAGCTACCCAGTTTCTACCCCTAGTATTTCCCTCTAACCTTCTGTGGACTTGGAAAGACATTTAAAGTCTCTTGTTCCCAAGTTTTGTCATAAGAACAGAAACATTTTAGTGTCATGCTTCTCCAAGACTTCTGCAAGGCTAACTTTGTAAATGCTATTACTCATATTTTAACTTCTTTATCAGTTAGATATATTACCTTAAAATTACTTTACAGAGTTAAATCTATTTCTACTCAATCTTAGTAAGACAACCTGTTGCAAAGAGAAATGGCTTCATTTTATGTAAAGTAAATGCCATTGTGAAAAATATTTATAAATTTATTTCAAAATATTTACTTTTGTTGTTGTAGTTGTTATTATTTCATTATGCTTGTTTGTAGACCTTTCTATAAGATTTCTTATAAATTCACTTGCTTACATAAAAGGGTCAGTGCATTAGAAATAAAAAATCATGGGAGACAAATGTTAAGGTCTGCCAATTTTTCTTTTTGATCAGGAAAACTACATTTTCTTTGTGTAGATAATCAAGTTACTGTATTATATAGTGGATTGGTTTGATAAAATCTACCTTGGACCTGTAATTGTAGATGATCCAAAATGTATAAGCTCTTAATGATTTTTGAACCTACTATGGATGATTGTTCCAAGAAAAAATATGGATTTCCAAGATAATCATGTATGTGACCTTGGAAAATGATAGCTCTCACAAAATGAAACCATATATTCAGGATAAAAAATACCCATTTATGGCTTTCAATACTAACTTCTAAATTCTTATATAAAGTCTAAATATCTTGTATATTTAAAATTAATTTGTATCCTGAAATTGAAATAATCTATTCATTTTGTTAAATAGAAAAAGGATCCCATATTCCAGAAGCAACTCCAAAATACTCAGAAACAAGTGCCATTATTGGTAAGTAAAAATTATTCTGATTTCTATCCATGTTTTTATGACCAAACTAATCAGTATCTAATGAAGACAAAGTAACCAAGATTTGAAACTATATTAGTTTTTAAAAAATTGCCCACTATCTATCTATCTGATCGTTGTATGTTTGAATGACATCACATTGGTACTATTTTTCCACAAAGATACATACAATCACACCACATCCACATAAATATGTATGCATGTGTGTACATATGTTTGTATATGTGCATATATGTATAGAAATAAATAATGGAATCCCTTATACCCATTTGATACATGGTAACCTATTCAGACAATATTGGAAAGACTATCTGCACAAAAAGGAAAAACAATTAAACAGAACACAGCTTCCCTCCATAGATCCCTCCCTATAGTAAAGGCATTTTCCCTGAGAGAAACAAGATTTTTTCGGTTACATCTATTTTGTTTTATGCCATTCTAAATGAGAACTACAATCAACATCTTAGTACATATAGTCTTACAGTGGCTATGAAAGAGATTCCCCATAGTGAGATTGCTGAGCTAAAACTACGTATATTTTAGTTTAAATTTTCATAGATCTTATAAAAATCCCTTCCAAAAAGGCATCAATAATTCACATTTCCAAACGCGATTTTTCTGCATTCTCACCAGCAGTGAGCATTAGTACTTCCAAATTTGAGCCTTATCCTACAGGGTGAATGGAATCTGTAGAAACTACTAGAACTAATAAGGGAATTACGAGAAATGACCCATGAATGCATAAACAGTGGGACAGGATGTTTTTATTCCCATTTCCTTCTGGCCAGGTAGCCAGCTTGGGGTACTCCCAAGGACTTGGGTGCTGCTTTCAGAGTGTTTGTGCAGTACGCGAGAAAGGCAAGTGCTGAATGAAGGGGTGACTGTGAGGATAGAATCTTTCAGTTATTTTTCTTATCTGGGTACATGAACACTTTAAAAAATCAGAGCTGGAGTGTACATTAATTTCTCTGAATGATTATGAATATTCTCTAAATATTTTGCAGGTGAAGCTTCCACTTGGGGCCAAGGAGCATACAAAGCTTTCAACGGCCGCATCTTCTCCTTTGAGTCATCGTGCACGTACACTTTCTGCCGCCACTGCGATGACCCTGGAGATTTCAATATCGAGATCAAACGGGGCAATGAGAGCGAGATTGAAAAAATAGCAGTTGTGGTTGACAGTAATGACATCTCTGTATCTGGTGATGCCATCTTAGTCAATGGAGAAAGGTAAAAATCACGGTGTTTGAATAAATGCTGTAGAATTATTCAAAGTAAACTGAGGCAAGGAGGTTAGATGAAGAAAAGATGGGGAGAGATGGTGCACTCTCTTCTTGTTTTGATGCCTGGGTTGATATTTTTAGTAAATTCCTGGAAAGGGGTTTGGTAAATATATAAGACTGAGATACACAAGGTGGGAAAAAAAAGGGTGATTGTGTTGTTTGACTATTTACAGTATCTAGATTTTGGTCAACAGGCATATTCCAGAAAACTGTTGAAAGAATATTCCAATGTTCATCTGTATTTCTAACATTGAATATAAATTTGAGACTTACAATAGATTGAAGCCCTTAGGCCATAATTTTCAGACATAGCAATTCATGTTTGGAAGGGATAGCACATTTGAATATTTACCAGGATAATAAAATGTGGCATGATAATTCACTTGCAAACATTTCAGACTATTTCATCACTAGTTTCCTATATTGAACCAATGTTTTGTTGTCATTGTTCATTTCTACAAAGTCCCAAAGATGTATTCATCTTTCCTTAGAAGTCTTTCCAACATTTGGACAAGAGCCATGAGTCTCTTCTTCTACAATGATATAACACATAAAGCTTTAATATTTATTATAGCATTTCTAAATACAAAAAAGTGAATTATCAGACAAACATGCTGTAATACTTCTGACATGCGTATGTACTTGTGTTTCATACTTTTCAGTGTACAGCTACCATATAACAATAAGCTGATCCACATTAAAAAATATGGAGAATATAATGTCCTGAATAGCCGTAGAGGAATTTTGTCTTTAATGTGGGACAAACATAACAAGCTCTCAGTAAGTTTATGTATGATTTTATCATAATCCTGGGCCTCCTGTTCTTTGCCTTTTATTACAAAAACAGTACATTGGAAGGAAAGTAAGAGCTAAAGTTAATTGAGAAATATCTATGTACTTGTCACTGTACTAACCATTCTCTCAATATTGAAATGCATACTATTAATCTTATTTTAAAGATGATGGAATTCAGGAAATTCAGGCTGAAGAAAGTTAAATAACTTGCCCAAAGATACATTGGAAGTGCTGGAGTCATGACTTACTTCAAATCTAGAGCCAGGTCCTTCAGGGGAAAAACACCCTTTAGTACATCCCTAAGTAACCAGCTTAGATAGAATTAAATACAAAGAGCCACGTTCCTTGGTTTGGGTAAATTTTGTCTTGAGGTATCTTCAATATTTTATAAATATATGCATGTAAATTTCTTTTAAAGCTCACTCTTCACAAGCAATATTCAACCTGTGGTCTTTGTGGTAATTTCAACAGCACTCCAGGTAAGATTTCGATGTATCGTGTATAAGAAAATTGCTTCCCAAAAGCAAATGATAAAGTAATGGCTTATATTTGGATAAATCTAACAACAATTTGTATTTTTCAAAAGAATAACAATTTGTTAAAATAAATATATGTATATATTTCTCAAGTCTGTGTTTATCTTGAAAATGATGTGTACATATAATGAAGATTGCGAACCAAACATTGCTTTCTTTTTAAGGAGAAGATATCAATGAGCACATTGCCAGTAGCAAAATTCCTGGTGATTGCCCCCAAGCTCTTAGTAAAAACTATGAAGTTTGTGAAGATGGAATACAGGTAAGGAATTAATACTTTATCGAGTAGCAAATTTCAGCAATATTCTCCTTGGTTTTAATTAAGATAGCCAGCACCCTTTCTAAGCACTCATATCTTATTCTTGGAATTCTGCAACAGCTTCCCCTCTGGTTTCCCTATAGTTTATTTCTCAGCTTTAGTTTAACTAGAGATGCTAAAGTAATTTTTTTCTAAAACATTACGATATTAACTATATATTAGTGTGACAATTCTGATTTCTTTGCATAGTTGCCACTAGTAAACATATCACAATATAGTTTTCCCTATAAGTCAGTCTGAGACCTAGCTCAGGACCTCTAACCTGGGCCTTAGGAATCAAAAGGTCCAGGCCACCTCTATGGCCACTAGCCCTACAGGTAATGCCAGCACCAAGGAATAACAGTGAGTCAACACATGTGACTGCACTATTCATTCAGCTTTTACTGATGCAAGTTCAACCTCAATCAATAACAATGGATCACTAGCAATAACACTCAGAAACAATCAGTTATAATATCACACAAGAGAACTGGGGGATAATGAACCTAAGTCTCAAGAGTCCAGATCAGATCCAGGTCTGGGAAGCAGTGGGGTGGTCGACATCTTGCAGGGCAGAGTCAGAAGGATGGGATCGTGGTGGAGCTCTTCCTCCCAAGGTGGAATGTGCAGGATGTCTCAAAGTGACTCACTCTCGGGATGAATTGCCTATAGTCTGAAGTCCTCTGCTTGTATATTGTTGTATGATGCAATGTTGTGTCAGCTTCTGATCAACACGTGTGGTTTTGTGCAACTGGATAGGCACACATAGTTTATGCTGCTCTACTGTGCATGCTCTGAAAGGGGGCATTACCCTTCAGACAAACACTTACTGTTTACCACATTGCACTGTGCATGCTCAAGTGATTGCATTATCACTCTGAGTCATTACTCTACTGTGCAAGCCCTAAACATAGCTTGCCTCAGTGCTATCTTAGTTGACAGGACTGGTGCCATCTTAATTCAGTCTTGCTCTCCACAGTGGTGTTTTAATTTCTCCATAAATTGACAAGCTTTACCTCTTCACTGTTATCTCTTGATAGATACTAACTGGACTCTTATGGTTTAGAATTCCATGAACTGTGTCACTAAGAACTAATTTCTGCACTTGCTTCTTTACTTTTGCTCCAGATAGCTAATCTCAATTGTCATCCTTTGTATCCTTTACTTTCTTCAAGAAAAAGCTTACAGGTAGCTCTGGCCAGGTAGCATGGTTGATTGCAGCATTGTCCCCTACACCGAAATGTTGTGGGTTTGATCCCTGGTTAGGGCACATGCAGGAGGCAGTCAATCGATGTTTCTCACTCTCTCTTTCTCCTTTTCTCTCCCCCTAAAAATTAATAATAAAGAAAAATAGCTACAGGTAATCCTTTTGGTTATAATACTTGAAAGTAATCATCACTTACTCTGAATTTTCCAACCCTGTGTAATTCCATTAAGTAGAATTTGATAGAGTCATTTGATGACTGAATTAATGTTTATGTATTCCTGTTTTAATCTGGAACAAAATTCTCAAGATCAGGATAGGTGCAGATAGAAGAGATTTTTGCTTTAGAGAAAATGGGTGTTACATTTATAATCATCTTGTCATCTTGTAGCAAATTGAATTAAGCCATGAGATTATATCAATATAAGATCATCTACTATCTTCCTTTGAAAACTTCCCTGATCTTTGCATTTAGAATGCCTTCTCTTTCCTGTGTTACCCTATGCTACTCACTGGTACTTATGATAAGGTACCATCTATAATAATTTCCCATGTTTTTGTCATATGTTTTCTATAAGATCATGTGTGAGTTCTGTAATTATGTGTTAACTGTTGTAGTAGTTGCATATTTTGGGATAAGTTACACCTTATTGCTTAAAAATGTTAGCTGAATGCATATATAAATTTGTATTAAGTCCATAGGATAGAGTGATATTTCTTGACTTAAAGGAACCTATAATCTAGTGAGAAAGATATGCAAAGTCCAATAAATAAAGAAGCAATCTTTGAAGATTTTATTTTGGTTCATTTTATAGGGTTTACTTGATGCAAATTATGCATTTTTGGCAATAGCTTTCCCATTTCCTGAGGAAAAAAAGCCCATGGTTAAAATAGAAAATGATTATGTAGTAGTTAGAATATATTGAATTTTGAGAGTTTTGTGTTAATATGTCTTTACTTCCTTAACCAACATGAGAACAAAGATGTTGTTTCCAGAGCAAACTCACATGACCCAGGCCAAGTGAAAGAGAGTCATGTTTTACTGTCATCTGTTTACTCATCAAATATAAGCAGACAAAACAAATGGCCAATATCCTTCTGTCTATTGTGGTTTGAATCATTTATCATCCAATTTCTGACATTTACCAATCTCTCCTTTTCTCACCTCTTATTCTTTCTCAATTTAAAATTTCATATTACCTTTACAGAATTTCAGATGAGTGCAGGTACAATTTCTGAAGCTGTTTTATAGAAATCCAAGTGTCAGAAACTAAGTATTCTTTTAGGAGCAACTGTACCAACTGTAATATTTCAAAACCCTTCACTTCAACCAGCATCCAACAACTCTCCCTGTTAAAGCAACAGGGCATTATGCAAACGAAAAGTGCTCCTGAATTTATCTCTTCTGCAATACTCATTTGATTGTCCATTTTCTTACAATTTAGTAAAACTTTGTTTTTATTTTACAGCACTGTAACAAAATTATTGGAACCTACTTCGAGAAATGCGGAAAGGTTACTTCCTTGTCCAGTGACTACAAAACAATCTGCATTGATGAATACTGCCGACAAGGAGACAAAAATTCCACATGTGACACTTACTCGGAACTGTCCCGCCTTTGTGCCTCCGATGGCCCTGGCACCTATGAATCCTGGAGAGAAGATTCTGATGTGGTTTGTGGTAGGTTTTGCATTTTGTCGTAGATTGCAAGTCAGAGATTACTATGCAGGGATGGGCAAAAGTAGGTTTACAGTTGTCTGCCCACGAAACACAGTTTATTCCTGTATTATTATTAATTATTGTATTACTTTCCATATGAACAACTGTAAACCTACTTTGCACACCCTTGTATAGTACTTACAGTACAAGTATAATATCAATTTCAAAGTAGAATTAAATGATATTGTGTATGATACACATTTCATCCACATTAAATTTTGTATCATTAATAATACAAATATAAATATTGGCATAATATATTTGTACTGAGTAGGTTTAAAGACTTATGTCTTGAAAATTAGATTCAAAGGATCCCATCTGAGAAGATCCCCATTAGAATGTTATACATTTATTATATTAATTTTCCTCTAATATTCATGCATACATATTTCTATATTTCTCCAGAAAAACCGAGATGCCCAGAAAAACATATCTACAAAGAATGTGGCCTCTCAAACCCTGCAACTTGTTCTAATGTGGCTCCTTTTCAAGACAGTGAATGTGTGAGTGGCTGTACCTGCCCAGAAGGTAATATTTACACCAAAACATCTGACAACGAAGTGACTCACCTATAGTGGGGTCTTACCCCTAACAAGATAGGTAGTGGATTTACCTATTCACAGCCCAGCCTTCTAACAAACTGCAGGTGAGGGGTAGAGAGAGAACTTTAAAGTCAGTGTGTATTTCAAACACTACAGTACCTGAGGGCTGTGAAATCCCACAGATCATCCTGTGTATTTGGCTCCATAGGCCTGGTCTGTACAGAAAATTATACACTTGCCAGTTCTGAAAGAAGTAGTATCTGCTTAAATACAAATCACCACTTTAAGTGCATGTCAACCCTGAAAAGAATGATCTCAACAGTGATTTCACAATATACTGCTCGAGAATTTACTGATATTTATGTGGTTTTGAGATTAATCTTACATAATGCATTCTAGGTTATCTATTGGATGATATTGGAGAGAAAGGGAGATGTGTACTGAAGGCTGAGTGTCCCTGTGAATCTAATGGAACAGTCTATCAGTCGGGAGAAGTCAGGAAAGGACCCTGTGGTTCTCAGTGGTACGTACCTGTGTGCTTTTTGTCCACATTTTGCTGATGGTAAAAAAATACTAATATTTTCATCTTATTTGAAATGAGCCCTAAATCCACCTTAATATAAACTTTTCCTTAAAAAAAAGCAGCCTCATTTCAGTGTTAATAATTTATCTTTTAATTTTTGAGGAATGTTTAATGTGCTGTTTGTATAAAATATGTGATCTTTCTATGTATCTTTCAATGATAATGTTCTTCACTAACTTAAATCATGTTTTCAATAGTGATCCAATTGGTGCTGGCAAGTATAGAGCAAAGAATAATACAAGAGTGTGGTTACAGTAATGAAACAGTAATTGTGCTCATTACCAAGAATAGTTAATAAAATGACCAATCAGAACTTCTCAAGTTCTGAGACCAACACTTCTCAAATAACTTTTTATGAGGCTACATTGCTGAAGATATGTTTCCCAGAGTGGATTTGAATGTTTCAAAAGTTAGGGTAGATTATTTCTCCTGAATAATTAACTCTCCCTTTTGACTGCTGCAACAATTTGCCGACTGGAGAGATTTCCCCATTACTCATTATTACTTTTTTTCTGAAATTGCAAGTTTCTGTAAGACTCTAAAGAACTTTTCTAGAAACAAGTAATATCCTTCCGAAAACCTAATTGGACTCAATGAAAACCAATCTCTTATTTATAGTATATTATTTCCCTAAAAATAGGAAATGTTTTATTAGTGTGGTAATAATTTATTAGTGATAATTATGAATAACAATAGCTATGGTTGGTTAAATGCCTATAAAAATGCTGTTCAGGAGAAATATAATTTGAGTCACAAATGTCACCCTCATAGATAACTAGTACTTTTTAGTTGGTGCATTTAAAAAAAGAAACAACCATGTGAAATTAATTTTCATCTTATTTTTTATGTATCCAAAGTATTATCATTTCGACATAAAGTTAGTATACAAAATTACAAGAGATTTTATAATTTTTTTATATTGTCTTCGATGGCTGTGCATATTTCACTTACGGCAGATCTCAATCCGAAGTAGCTGCATTTCAAATAATCGGTAGCTGTATGACTCTGTACTTATTGGACGGTGCAGGTCTGCCATGTGGCAAGTAGCATGTGTTTCAATGCTAACAAGGAAATATGCCCCATAGAAACAAACCCTTGAAATCCAGTTTACAAGTGTCTATAAGTTAAATGCAGGCAGATGTTATTATCTTATTCAGTAGAATTCAGGTCTTTTAAAATACCAGGATGCCACTGTCAGTGAGGCGTTTTATGAGCTGAGAAATTGGGTGGAGAATGCAATTCTCATAAAGCTCAACTAGTAAAGCTCAACCAAGCATCTTAGTGTAAGTTGTAATGTTTTTAGAACATGGTTTCTGACCTTTAACATAACCATTTTCTTTTAACAGCACGTGCCAGGAAGCAAAGTGGTCTTGCACTGAAGCACTGTGTCCTGGGAGATGTAAGGTGGAAGGAAGTTCAATTACCACCTTTGATGGTGAAAAATATAACCATCCTGGGAACTGTCACTTTTTGGCCATCCACGTATGTACTAACCTGGAGCATGAGAGAAAACTGATGCAGGCACCAAGCTATTTTTTAGCCAATTTGAAGCACAATCTTTACCTCCAATTACTATTTAAAAAATAAAAACCAAACAGCCCTTCAATTCCTGGCCACATATTCCTGTATCTGTCTGCTTCTCCCCTATTGGCTTGACAACCAGTACTACCAGTGCCCTTTAGAAATTCCTACTTGACAAAAAAGCCCCTTTTATCACTAATAGTTTTCTAAATACATTGGAAAATTATTTGTTCTTTTACTTTTCTTTCATGTGTTCACTAGTAACTCAAATGACCCCATCTTTTACATTTTATGATGCATTTTTCTCTTTCATCATTGTTCTTTTACACTTACTTTTAGTTTTTATGATACGATATATCAGTGTGGTAGAGGTTGTCCTTATATTTAAATTCTCTTCAGTATTAACATTTTAAGTCATTTGAATTGCAATAAAAGGGGGGATTTCTTTTTGTAGTTTCTGCCATTTAGCTAGTATGAGAATAAAGAATTTTTATTTAGTCTTTCCGATAAGAAACAAAATGAGCAAAATTTGTGATTCCTAAAGTGTGAGATGTCCAGTAATCTAAGAAATGTAGTGGCTGCTGCTGAAAGTCAGTTTTCCAAATTTCTTTTCTTTCTTTCTGTGCTTCTCATGTAATCCATGAAGATATGGAATAGAAAAAGTGAAAAGAAAATGTTCCAAAATGTATGGAATATTTGCTTCTTATAGTTTAGAGATTCCTTGATCTTAAAGTGAGAACTTGAAGTCAATGTTCAACTTGAATTATATAACAATTTTGCAAATTAATTATCTCTCACATTGGATTTAAACAGACATTGTGGATTGCCCAGAGAATAAACAAGCCAGGTTGCCTTTAATTCTCCTTAGTCTCCATAATGAAGCATGGTTCCCTTGAAAGAGAAGACAAAAAAGTAAAGATAAAGAAAAAACAATCACTATAAAAAACCACCAATCATACATGACATAGATGTAGCTGATAGACGATAGATACTAGGACAATCTGTAAGCACTTGGCCAATTTTAGAGTATACTGTGGACTAAACTAGGTTTCTGTTTTTGGAACAGAATGACTGTAGATAAGCATTATGGTGATAGAAGGAGACTAGACTTTGGGTGGTGAGCGCACAAGGAATATACGGAGGTTGTAAATATGAAGCTGCAGATCTGAAATGTATATGTTATTAATCAATGTTACCCCAATAAATTTAATTGAAAATAAAATGCTAACATGCATTGTGAATGAATCACATGGTACTAACATATAATCAATAACATTGTAATAACCACTTAAATGAAATGCAATTTTTAAAAACAGGATGAAGATTGGTCTGTTGGTGTTGAGCTCCGTCCATGTGCAAGTGGTCAGTCAGGAACGTGCTTAAATAGTGTTACACTCCTCTTGAATTCGGTAAGTCATCAGCTTCCTGAAACTTATTAAGAGCACAACCAGATCAACTCACAAATTCAGAATTTGGGGGGGTTGATGAAGAGAGGATTTACTATGTAAATTAAAAACACAGATAAGATTATACAGAAATTGGTAAAGTCTCTGGAAGAGCTGGATAGTTCCAAGGATCCTCAAATATATAAAAACTACCATAGGTATACAACCGTTTTCCTAATTATAGTGCAATAGAGCAATCTTATGTGCTTATAAAATTATTAAATTCTGTGACCTGTTTAAGAAGGCAGTTATATTTGTTTAGAATTTTGTGTATGGGAAACTAACATTTTCAGGGAAAATAGACCTAAATGAGGAAAGAGAACAATCACCCTGGTGTTTGGCACTTTCAAGCTATTTGACCTTTGAGAACCCAGTTAACTTCTAGGCCCTTAATTGCCTCATCTATATATTGGGGATGAAGGGCCCTTTACAACCTTCCTCAGGGAGTTGGTATGAGAAACGATGAAGCAAAGTATAAAAAGTGCTTTAAATTTTCTATGTTTTAGATATTTATAAATTAATCCAAATTAAGCATGTTTTATGGGACAAAAATTCAAGTTCATTCTTACATTAAAGTGAAATTATTTTGTAAATGAATATGAGCTAATGATGTATTCTAAATTTCAGACTGGTTCCGTTGACAAATATATATTCAGTAGAAATGGAACAGTCACAAATGACAAAATTGGAAATCAAAGTGATTACTACTCAGGTAAGTTTTATAGTACCATTAATAATACCATTTAAAAATAAATGTAAGGGGCACTTATTTATTGAAGTGTTAATGATATCAAATGTTTCTGTTTTAATATCTATTAAAAAATAAAAGCACTTTAAGAAATGAAAAACTGTAATGTGTTCATGATTGCTATTAATTTTAATTATTTTAACAGACAAAATACAGATATTCAAGGCATTTTCCTCATACTTGCAAGTAGAAACAGACTTTCACGTAAAAATGCAAATACAGATTCTTCCCGTGATGCAATTATATGTTTCCATGCCGCCCAACCAATTCACAGACACAGTGGGTAAGTGCTCCACCTTTGCTTTTATTTCTAAGGCTCTAATGTGATCATGATTTATTGTAATTTTCAATTGTCTGTTAATGACATTAAACCATAAAGCATTTTTACTTAACCTACCAATTTTCCTTTTCGTATTGCAGTAAAATAATTCCAATTTTCTTTTTATAGTAAGTATAATATTATTTATTACAAAATATATTCCTAAATCATTCTTTTTTTTTTTAGTTTTTATTTAGTTATTTTTCAAGTACAGTTTTTTTTGTCTATTTCTCCCATCCCAGTGATATTTGATAATAAGTTATGTATCATTTTGTTAATATACATAATTAAGGTTTTTATTTATAGAAGAGTAAATGAAAGTATTATGAATATAAATCTTTTTTAAATGATGTTTCAAATGCATCATATCTTCCAATGAGGTTTCTATTATTACAGAAATCAGCTCTTACAGACTATCATTGATGTCAAGCAAAAGAAACAAAACAATTATGGCAAATCCTATGGTTACTTATATATATAAAGAACAATCAAGACATTGTCTTAGATAGCTTCTACGGTTTTGATTTGAAAAAAGAACTGAATGTGAAGCTAGGATACGAGTCCAAACAATTGAGTAAAGAGATGTTCACCTTTGTCCTGTGCCCTTTTGTAGGACTCTGTGGCTCCTACAACAACAGAGCCGAGGACGATTTCATGTCAAGTCAGAATATACTGGAAAAGACATCACAGGCATTTGCTGATTCTTGGGAAATGATGTCCTGTCCTAAAGGAAATCCAGCTTCGTGCATCAGTATAGAAACAGGTAAAATTAATTAAATGCCAAACTCTAATTAAATATTAGGTGCTAGGGATTGTATACTTATTCTGGTAATGATAAGAGGCTATCAGATAATCCTGGTTTTAACTGCTGTTTGCTGTACTGTCCCATGGTTAGAAGAAACAGCAGAGAATCAGTCCTTCTGGCTGAGAGTTTTCCCAGTGAACACATCTTTCCCGGGGCTTCGGGCGTCATCTCAATTGTCTTTTCCTGTAGCTGTTCTTTCTTTTTCATATGGTTTTCTCCATAGCTACAGAACAATAGGTTTAGAAGAGACTTTACAGATTATTTGGTTTATTATTCTTTTCTTTTAATTTAGTCATAGATATTATCATTGCTTGAAATAATGAGACTCATTCAAACCACTGATCCACTTAACAATACAGGTTTAGCTAGATTCAGGTCTCCCAATCACTACTTTCAAATAAGTATATTAGTTATACCAAACCCCACATTTACATCTTACTAGGGAAGCTGTATACTTGGATGGCAGGGGTGAGGTTATAGTGGTGGTGCAGTGGCTTCATTGACCAACTTATCAACACAGACACAAGTCAATATTTTAAATTAAAAGGCACCTACCTAAATAAATAATCTGGTTCCTTTTCACCATTTATGTATTTAAACTGCATTTCAGAAAAAGGTTAGCTGATTGAATACAAAAGTCTTAAACTAATAAAGATGGTGCCTCTATGGTTTAAAGTATTTCTGATTATATCATGCTGGTTTTTATATAGTGATAGAAATTCAATTCATGGTAGCAAAACACTTTGAAAACATAATTGCCTTAATAAAGACAAAACTCTGTTAAACATTTATACTTTGTTTTTCAATTAAAAAATATGATATCATTAATACAACTTGTGGGTGACTTGATTTTTTTCCAGAAAAGTTTGCTGAAGGGAACTGTGGAATTCTTCTTGATTCAAGTGGGCCTTTTGCTTCCTGTCATGCCATTGTGAATCCTAAACCATATCAGGAGGTATGTGGGAGTCTCACAGTAACAACTTTTTTGGGAAATACTTTGATGATATAAATGAGGCATATAGCTATTAAAATTTTTCCAAAAAAACCCATTGACAGTAGATTAAGAGATATGTTTTTATTGAACATTGGATTCCACATTTATTCAATTGTTAGATATACCAACTTTAAAAACTGGGAAAAAATGAGGAAAAATCTTAAATGATTTTCTCTTTCTGTCTTTTCTAAGTTCTTTGCAAATTCCATTGATAATTGCCTTGCTGTTCTACAAGTTTTTAAAAAGAAATATTTCCAAAAGTTTCAGAAATATTTTTTCAAGTAAAAGGAGTAGTTATAAAGTCATTGTACTGTTTATTTGTTCATGTGAATATTTTCATAATATAATGTAAATTTGCTTCTTATCTTAAAGGAATGCAAAAAACACACGTGCACTTGTGAAAATGGTCAAGATTGCCTGTGTGCAATTTTAGGCAACTACGCGAAAGCATGTGCCGAGAAGGGAACATACATGGTGGGGTGGAGAACTGGACGATGTGGTAAGAAGGATGAAGACTGGGGATAATTCTACTGCCTTCTCAACTTCGCTATAGTGTGTGTGTTGTGTGTGTGGTGTGCGTGTCTTTAGGCACATATATTTACAAATCTGTCCTTGTTCTTTCCAAGATGATCTTCTGTTTCTGAAACAAAACAAATTGTTAGTTGTCAGAGGCATGGTTTAAAGCAATCTATCTTCTGGTCCTGGGAAGGGGAGGATGAGCTTTGGCACCAGTGTGGCATCTTGGAAATCAGTGTGACAATAGGCAATAGAAACTATAAAAATCTTCATCCTCCCTGATACTGCATTTATACTGTTGAGGATTTATACCAAGGAAAATAATAACAATTTAAAATAATATTAATAATAATGTGCATTTCTGTTCCCCATTTATATTGATTCCTCAAGATTCATATCCTCTTTCTTTTTTGTAATTCAATTCTGATATTTCTTTGGGAATCTGCCCCATCTGCACTGCAGTAAATCTTAGTAGAACTACCAATCAAAGCAACCCTCCCTCCCAAAGGGCAAGGGATTAGCATGCGATTTAAATAAAGTCACTCAGTGCCCATATATCTTTGAACCATCAGTACAGCTATCTTTGAACCATCTTTGCATTTTTACTTCTTGATTTATTCCTTTTTTCTTGATACAGTATGTTCATATTTAATAAGAACAGAACATATGTATATGTACATATATATTCATGCAGAAACATATGTTTCTGTTCAATTATTGTATGGTGAAATTTAAATAATGTTTTACTTTTATTGCATTTCTAAATATTAGATATATTAATAACTTGTTTATTAAAAACCAAATAAAAACCAATCAGTAAACTAGAGGCTCAATGATCATAAAACTTTGTTTTAAAATATGTATTACACTGTTCGAATACGGCTTTAGAAAATACTTGATTTACAAAAATAACACTTTGTAGAAAAACATCCCTTATAGATCAAACTTAATACTTCATAGGCCATATCCAGTCAATAAGATGTTCTATTAAGTTTACCTCCCAAATTTCTCTAAAATCCATTCATATCTATCTTTATTGCCTTCAATCTAATTCAAGAAACCATTATTTTTTTCTTTTGGGTGACTTCAATAATCTCCATCAATATCTCTCTTGGTTGGTTCCCTTTAATCCATTTTCTACTGAGAAATCAGTGTAATCCTTAAAGTAAAACCAAATAAAGCTACCCTGATCATGTGAAACTCAGTCTAAACCAAGGCAGTGGCTTGACAAGGCTCTAGAAGACCAAACCGTAGGAAGGCGCTGTGAGTTCTAACCTCTGACTCTGTGTCTGGGCTTACAACATCTATTCTCTTACTTGATCTTTAAAAGAATTTCCCTCTCTTCTAACTTAGGCTGCTTCCCAGGCACAGAATTCCCTTTCTCTAGGCTGCCTTCATGCTGTCCCTCCTCTTTACTATGTGCAGGTACCCAGTTGTATGCAGTTAAGAGACTTCTGTCTTGCTTCTTATAGCAGGTAACACATGTCCTTCCCTCAGGAATATAATCTGCTTGGGATCAGTGTATCACCAGTCTTGTTTATGGGCTATAAACCCCATATTCCCCTATATTCCTATACTCCCCAGCAGGCTGGGTAAAGGTATACTAGGGACTTAATATTGACTGAAAAAAAATGAAAAAAAAAGTATTTTTTCTCGACTAAAATCTCAATTATGAGTAATTTACTATAATATCTATAAATATCAAGTTGAAGTAAAGTTGCTCCTTTTTCTGAAGATATATACATACTTGGTTTTTCTGTCTCTATACCAACAGATGACTCTTGTCCAAGTGGCCTAGTTTTCAAGTACAATGTAAAAGCCTGCAATACTTCTTGCCGATCATTGTCAGAAAGGGATAGAAGCTGCGATGTAGAAGATGTTCCAGTGGATGGATGCGCTTGCCCTGATGGGATGTACCAGAATAGTGAAGGAAACTGTGTTTCCAAATCTCAGTGTGACTGCTACATAAACGACAAGGTCATGAAACCAGGCAAACTCATCCATATTGATGACAATAAATGGTATGGAGATGACATGTATGTTTGTTATAGCCTTGCATTCCAGGGACTATCCTTTTCAGAGAAATGGTCTTTTGCTAGTTTGTTGTCTTCTTCAGACCTGTCATATTCTTAATTTTATATTTCTTACTAAGAACAGTTATTGTCCCCTTGGACCAGGAGTTTTCACTGCATCATGGCTGTAATTGATTTATCCTCTTGTTTTGGTTTTAAATACAGTAGGAGAATATTTTAGCAGCTCCTACATGCAAACAATGCAAAATAATTTCCTATTCAGACAATGTTTTCTAGTTGTTTCTCAGCATTCATTGTTCCACAAAACTTATTCAGTAAGTATCTACCATGTGCCAGGCCTCATGATGAGTGCAGGAGTGTAAAGATGGGGGCACATTGTCTTGGACTCACAGAGTAAGAGGGTGTTGCCCATTGTGAGGAGGTTTGTATATTATAACATGGGAGTAGGAAGGACCAGTTGCTACCGGAGGAGAAGGGAGAACTTCTCAGAGAAGACCAGCATTTGAGTTCTCCAAAGGAATGAATGTTTTTCAGGTAAAATTCTGCTGCAAAGAGTGATTACATTAGAGTAAACAGAATGCACTCATGTACAAAATGCTTGACAAAGTATTGCACACATATGTTGTTGCTACACAGGATTGGGCTGGAAAAGTAGACAGTGGCCTAGCTATGCTCAGGAATTTAAACTTAGTTCCTGGGCAGTAGAAGGGGTTGAAGAATTGTTATTTAGTCATGGCTATGGAGGTTGCACTTTCTGCAAAGTGATTTATCCACATGTCTAATTCCAAAGAACAACATGGCAATTCTTAACAACATAACTTCAAAATGAAGCAGCCACTCCAAAATGCTTTGGATGCACCTTCCCCATGTTCTTTATCTCCATGAAACATTCAGTTAGCAATAAGGATATTTCTTGGTCATTTAAAAGTAAAGCATAGGTAACACTTTTTTAATCCTCACCTGAGGATATGTTTATTGATTTGAGAGAGAGAGAGAGAGAGAGAAACATCAATGTGAAAGAGAAATATTGATCAGTTGCCTCTGTGTGTGCCCTGACCAGAGGGCAAACCCTCAACCTTTTGGTGTTTGGGATGATGCTCCAACCAGCTGAGCCATCCAACCCGGGCTAAATAACATTTTTTTTTTTCCATCAAAGCACACAAATCATTTGTCTAGAGTTTGAAAATGATACTTTCTTTCTAGATGGTGGCAAATCAGCAGATTCCCTTTTTAACGAAACTTAGGCTACCACCACATTATGGTTTTCTTCAGCATTACCTACTTCAGGCTCCCATGAACTCTCCTGGCACTACTATGAGAGCTAACGTTGTTGTCCTTTGCCCTGTACCTCTGTCTCTGGCTCCTGTTCCCTGCACTCGGGCTAGAATGTCTAACCTAAATTCAGATCGTTCCATGCAGCTGCTCAGGAACTTTAATGGCGACACAACCAAAGAACGCAAACAAATGTGCGTGTTGTTTAAGATCATTGGAAATCTGAACCAGCTCTCTTTTACCACTTGTCCCTATCATACATCCTACCTGCTATCCAAAGAAGTTACTAGAACATACCTTGTTCTTTCCTGCATCACAGCTTTGTGTCTATCTCGTCTGCAGGATCTGGTGAATCTAACTCAGCTGTCAAGGTCCAACTGTCTTTTCTAAGAAGCTTTCTTTGATGTCCATAAAACCTTGTTGGTACATTCTCACAATACATAGGAGGCTATATCTTATAATTGGGTACATTTGCATCTTCTGGGGACCTTGTCTCATTCATACTACTACTTGTGATAAAACAGGTGGTTCATGAATTAGGGCTTAAAGTTGCTGTAACAGTGCATTAAGATGTTGTCATTGAAATTTGATGTTAAAGATGAAGGGGTTAGCCAAAGAACATATGTGGATAACCCACAGATGCAGACAACAGTGTGGTGTTGTCAGGGGGAATGGGGAGTGAGGGGAGGGGTGGGTGGATGGGGGCAAAGGCAGGTGGATGGAAATATCTCTAATAGTGCAAACAATAAATAGATTAATCAAAAAGTAAATATATCATTTTTTTAATTTCCAGTGTCTGTGAGGATGGAATTATTCTTTGTCAGACTCCCATTGATTTACCCCCACGTAAGTGTCAAACTCACATTGAAGGCTTAAGATACCTACTTTGGTTAAAATAAACAAACAAACAAGCAAACAAAAACTAGTCTAAGAAGCCCTTGACTAACAACTCCCTTTATCCTGCAGAGAATTGCTCTGGAGGGGCCGAATATGTTGGCTGCAGTGACCCTAAGGCAAAGAGAAGAGTTGAACGTACATGTAGCACTCGGAACATACCTAATTTTGATGTAAGTAACATGGCATCAGGGTTTAGTTCTTTAAAACGTTTTTTGCACTTTCATGGTAGAAGTAACTGAACCGCCAATGAAAACTAGTGAGGTCGTATTAATTGAGTGTTATTTTGACTTGGCCAGTGTTGACACTAAGTGCATACTTGGTATATTTCTCTACTGCACATTAGTGTGGTTTTGGGGATATGCTTAGAACAGTGCCTTATGTTGTGTATGTTGTATTTGTTCCTGAAGGAGAACTTGTCTTGCAAACGTGGGTGCTATTGTCCAGAAGGAATGGTTCGAAATTCTAAAGGGCAATGCGTCTTTCCTGATGACTGCCCCTGCTCCTTTGGTGGACGAGAATATGACCAAGGAAGCGTCACCTTAGTAGGCTGCAATGAATGGTATGTAATAAAGGATGACTATCTTATTTGTTTGGAGTATTTGAAAGTGTATAGTCTGCTCTTATTTTTATGGGAAAGAGGAAGTCATGCTTTGGGATATTTGAAAAAATAATGGTCAAATATATTTAGAAAAAATGCTGTTTATTTAAATAGCAGCTTTTGGAACATTATGTATGATGAACATCATCAAATGTAATGAATAAAACTGCAACATGTAAATCAATATGACTTTGTTTTGTGCTTTTTAATTTTTCAAAAATTTTAAATTTTATTTTATTTTCTCCTCACCCACAGACATGTTTATTGATTTTAGAGAAAGGGGAAGGGAAGGAGAGAGAGAGGGAGAGAAGCATCAATGTGAGAGGGAAACATAGATTGGTTGACTCTTGCATGTACCCCAAAAGGGATGAAACCTGCAGCCTAGGCATGTACTCTGACCAAGAATCAAATCCATGACCGTTTTTGTTTATGGGATGACACTCCAACCCACTGAGCCACACTGACCAGGGCTGTTTTATGCTTTTTTACAAAATCAGTAGGAGTATATAAATCTTGGAATAACATAATTACCAGACTCCATTTTTGCTTCCCTTTAGTACTTGCATAAAAGGATCTTGGAACTGTACACAAAATGAATGTCAAACTACCTGCCACATCTATGGGGAAGGTCATGTTCAAACTTTTGATAGAAAAAGTTATAGCTTCGATGGCCTCTGCCAGTATTCATTTGTTGAGGTAATTAAAGTGTTTTACCTAGGTTTTCTGTATTTCTTATTTATTGTGCATAAGCTCTAGAGAATTTTATTCTCAAAATGTTTTTTTAAAGCCCCTTATATGTTTCTCAAAGGCAGTAAAATATAGCACAAAGTAATGCTGACTCTCAAGGCAGTCGACCTGGATGTGAATCCTGGCTTGACTATTTTTCAGATGTGTGACTTGGTATACATTCCTTAGCCCTCTGTGTCTCAGTTTTGTTATTTATAAAACAGGGGTGGACAAAGCCCCAACTTGAAACAAAATTAGGAAAAATACTGGCACACATCCTCAATGCTTAATAAATATTAGATATTATTTCAAGAACAGCACTATTAGTAACAGTGATGGCATTTTATGAATGCTTCTTTGTCAAGCAAACATATATTTTATTCATTTAATCATTACAATACCAAAAGGCTCATGATAGTATTTCTATGATTCAGGTGAAGAAATAGAGGTTAAAGAGAATAAACTATGTAAATTACTAAGTAGATGATGCCATATTCAAACCTGAGCTATCTGATTTCAGAATTTGTTATATACAACTAAGCTTGCTCCTCAATAACACCTAATGGGTAAAATTTGGATTGTTTTATATTTATGCATTAGTCTTTGATTGAATATTAAGTTTTCTATAAATCACTGAGTAAAAATTTACCCTTAGCTATTTATAGTGCCCAGAAATACATTTATGATGATAAACTTATATAATTTAAATAGTTACATATCTATGGTATAATTCCAAACCTATGTAGAAGTACTGAGAAATGCCTGAGTCAAAGTGAGTTAACTAGTTTGGACTCATCCAAGGTGACCATTGTCTTTTGGAAATTACATAACAAACTACTAGCATATGGTCATTTATTCAGTTGATGATGTCACTGACTAGGAAATAATTAATACAAATATTGTAATTGAGTCCCACATCCCTGATATTAACAAACGTATTGTGATTTAATTTTCAAAGGATTACTGTGGTAGTGAAGATGGCACATTCCGTATTTTAACTGAAAGTGTCCCATGCTGTGAAGATGGGCTCACATGCTCAAGAAAAATCATCGTTGCCTTCCAGGTACAGCACCACTTCTCTTTAGTTACTCCTTCTCTCGGGCAACAAGTGGCCAAATAAAACTGCTGTACTTATAAATATACCATTTACTTTACAGGATCAGAATGTGATCTTGCATGATGGTAAAGTAACAGCAATCAGAACTACAGAAAGTAGGGAATGTGAACTCAATGAAAACACATACTCTGTGCATACCGTCGGCCTGTACTTGATTCTGAAATTTGTCATCGGAGTAACCATGATTTGGGACAAAAACACAAGGATTTCTGTCATATTGGATCCACAGTGGAATGTACATACATCTTGAATAAGTAATTAATTGGGGAGCAAAAGTATATCTGTTAATGAGAATTACAGACACATGAATAGGTAGAAAGTTGGAGAATGCTGGTCTCTGTTATAGAACAAGCCCTCCACATCTATCCAGCCTTTGTAAGCAATATGAAGTATAATCAGAGATGATAGAATGTGGTGAAAAATAAATGCAGTAAATCTGAGGCATTCTAGTTGAACCATATTTAATTATTTGTGATTATTATATAATTCGGTTTTGAAGTAATTGGTGTATATATAGAATTAGCTGTATTCCTGAGAGCAAATATTCTAAGAACCTAAGAGTATACTCATATATAATTTGAAGGTAGTGAATATAATTATTTTTTTAATTCTTAAGGTACTTACCTTAGTTGATACTAGATCATTTTATGATATAGGATGTCTTGGATTAAATGGGAGCAGAATCTTATCTATGGGTTATGGTTTCCTTTAAAAATTTGAAATGGAAAACAGATGATAATATATGTAATCATTATCTATCTATCTCTATGTATGTGCCTAGTACGGCTCACTTTTAACTTTCTGATCTCATCTCCCTATATATATTTACCTATCTATATCCTTAACAACTTACTTATTAGTTTTCTTTTCTCATCTACATAGGGTAAAGTGTGTGGTCTTTGTGGAAATAGCAATGGTGACCTCAAAGATGATTTCATAACACGACACTCATCAGTAGCTACTGGAGCACTGGAGTTTGGAAACAGTTGGAAAACTACTCAAGAATGTTCAGACACAGTAGCTCAAACTTTCCCATGTGACTCAAATCCATACTGCAAAGCCTGGGCTGTGCGGAAGTGTGAGATCATCCGGGACAGCACTTTCAGAGACTGCCACAGCAAGGTAGTACAGCTCCCAGAGCGATGCCCCACACACGGTCTGTTCCCAGAGACTCACGCTCTGTCCTCTGCCTAGGTGGACCCCAGTGCTTACTACGATGCGTGTATTGAAGAAGCCTGTGCATGTGACATGGAGGGGAAGTACCTGGGATTCTGCACGGCTGTGGCTATGTATGCGGAGGCATGCAGCGCAGTGGGCGTCTGTGTCACCTGGAGGAGACCCGATCTTTGTCGTAAGTGAATTCCATAAACTGTTCTTGACAATGTAATTAGATAGAATTGTTTTGTTAGATAAACAGTCTTCCTCTCATTGTCTATGAAATGTATCTTCTTGTATTTAGAAAGGTTTAAAAGCCCAAGTAAGTTATGATGGAAAAAAAACTTATTTTTAAAAACATTGCTCCTGGCAGACAATGTTAAATTTTGTTGTAGTTGCAAAAGTTTTTTTGTTCACAGGAGAAAAAATGATATTGATGGAATATATCCCATTAAAACTCAGATGAATAATAGAATGTTTACTTAACTTGTTATAGTCATACATCCTTAAGAACTTTGTATCACTTTTGGTTGAAGTACTCATTATCTCAAAAACTTTTGTAGAGCTCTAGCCAAGATGAACTGTAAAATGAATGTAAATTGAATCTTGATATACATGGAAAGTAGTAACTTTAATAGAAATCAGTCAACTCTTCCTTTTAAAGGAAGGTATTATCAGAAGGTATGACAAATGAGCAATGTTGAAATTGAATCCTCATTTTATGCAGTTTATTATGCTTGGCATTATAATATATTGAAATCTGTAGTAGCCTCACTTTGGTACTGCTATTTACATATTTTAAAAAGACAAATTTTCCCAGAGATTTATTTTTTAATTTAAATTTAAGCATTAAAACCATAAATCTAGACTATGACCTAAACTATCTCAAAACGGGAAAATTGATGGTTACTTTTCCACCTCAAGCCAACATGAATGTGAGATTTCAAAGAAAGTTCTATTTTGATTTTATATGCTTTCCCCTTCTTTTTTTGTGAGTTATTATTGGCTTATATAGCAATTGAAATAAATCCAAAGGAAGTCAGTAAGACAGAATGATATACTTTAGTTCTGCTTATTGTTAATATTATTCAAAATCCCTTTTAAAAATTCTTTGGGAAATGAAAGGTGAAAATTGTTACATAATAAAAGGAGCACTTTGACATAATCCCATTACAGCTGTCTACTGTGATTATTACAATGCACCTGGAGAATGCAGCTGGCACTATGAACCTTGTGGAACAGTGACAGCAAAAACGTGCAAAGATCGAGTTATTGGCCAGAAATTTTCTGCACTTTTAGAAGGTAAGACAAATCGAATAATATCCATGAAATACCGCAAATGATATTGATACTTTAAAACTGGAAATTGTTATTAGTTCCTGACAATTCAGGGTTCTTTTGTCATCTAACAAATAGCTGTCCTTATAATAACATTAATATTTCCACACTGGAACATAAATTATCTGTTTAATGAGAGAGAGAGAGAGGGGAGATGTACTGCTACAATCTCATTGCCCATTTCATTCTTAAGAATGTGGTGCCATTTTGCTATTATCAACTTTAGTTCATGAAGTCATTTAGGTGACTTTACAAATATATAACGTGGTATAATCAGTTTCAATAAGTAGAGACAAACTGAGGGCAGGTCATTTTCACCTACAGGCTGTTACGCCAAGTGCCCAGACAGTGCTCCTTACCTGGATGAGAACACCATGAAATGCGTCAGTTTGTCTGAGTGCAGCTGCTTCTACAACGACGTCGTACCAGCGGGTGAAGTGATCCAAGACAACTGTGGGAGAACCTGGTGCGTTCTCTGCTGACTCTCTAAAAATAATAGGAAGTATATGTATGTCATTTTTAACTTATTTCTAAACAACAAAGCCAGGTTTAGTATTATATCAGGTTAGTTATGCTTTGTTATATACTGAGTAATGCAGAAGACAAGATGAAATGTCACTATGTAGTTTTGGGTAAAACAAGTTTGAATTCTATAAATGCACGAGCATGTTTAAAGCCATTCAGACAGTGACGTGGGAACAAAGAGGGGACGCCACACTAGAGCGACATGGCTGTCATGTGACATCATGCTCGGAAGGGAGTGGGAACGGGCTCCAGAGACAGACTGCGAAGTGCTTCTTCACGTCCCAGGAATTCCTCCCTGAAAGCATTAGAAATAACAGTGTGTGAAAAAACTACAAGCAATTTGAATCAACAGCATGCTTTTGGGGAAACAGTTATTGACTGTTTTCTTATGTGGTTCTGGTATGATTTTGGGTGTTAGACAATTTGTTGTTTTAAATTAGAGAGATGCATATCACTAGGAGTTAAAAGTTTCACCTCATTTCTTTCTTTCTTTTTTTAAATTTAACTTCCAGCTATTGCATCGCAGGAGAGTTGGTGTGCAGCAGCGGTGAGTCATTGCATTTTACTCTACATGATTTAGCAGAGATGAGGAGGTAAAGGGTCTGGAATCTTTTCAGTCCAGCAACAGCAGAGAAGTAGGTACTTGGTGCTCTAGGTTGCCCCTCAGTGAACCGAGACCGTCCCATGCCAGTGTATTTGTTGACACTCAGTCACTTCAAACCCAATGCTGCAGAGGCATTGAAGAGCCTGGCCCACGGGCCATTTTCCTGCTGCACACGTGCCCCTGCCTATTTGTATGTTCTGGGAATTAAGGGGGTGAGACATCAGCCAAAACAGTTTAATAAAGGGGTGGAATGGAAGGTGAGTGTTAGTATAGGTAGAATTAAATAATGGAAGAGTTGCTGAGCAGCACATCTCAAAAGTAAACTCAATAAGCTTCAGGAGAATATATGAACTACTTTTTGTGTTAGTAACATAAAAAAGAGACAAATCACTTATAGGCAACTTTAGATTTAATTATTTTCAAGGTTTTGCATTAATAATAGTAATTTATGATTGTTTCAGGAACTGCTTCTACAAATTCAACATTTACAGGTAATGTCATCATTATGTTTTAAATATGCATTTCTTTTATTTTCTTGTGGATAATTTTATGAAATCACTTGAGTCTGTGCTAGTAAAAGATATGCTGTAAATCTGCTAATACAAACATTTCAGATTAATATGAACAGTTACTAGAAAATATGTCAAGATATTTCATTATACTCCTGTGATAAAGTTAGGAATATGACTAGAACATAGAATAGGTATTGTATGCTTATTGGCTAAATATCATAAGCCAAACCTTGACACTTTTAGATAATAATTGGAATAAATGGAATGACAAAGAAGTAAGTTGGTCTTCCAAGAAGTACATATTTTAAAATCATGATTACACTGGGAGATCATTTGAAAACATAGAAATAAAAAGTTAATTACTTTTTTAAAGAAAACTGTTAAATTTTACTTAATCCATAAACACGCAAACTTATTTGACCACAGAATTTTTACTTTCCTACATCACATATTAGTATGCAGAAGAATTAGTGTTCTATAGAACACATCATTTAAGTGTTCTTTACACAACTTTACACAATTTTACATAAGTTTTGTAAAGACTCTTAAATAGAGCTGAATGGGTACACTAATGGTCAAGTTTTTTAGGGTGTTTTATTTGCTCCTGTGAATCAGACATCCTCCAGTTGGAGTATAGTATATGGACCATGTTCCAAACTTGTTTATGTAAGAACCATTTTTCTACCTGGCATACTGTGAAATATTAGTTGAAGTCGTAATCTTTTTAATTTTCACAATTTATTTTTCTTCTTTCTACCCAGAGAAGGTCATATACTTTCTTCATGTATGTATTTTCTGTAAGCTATAAGTGCATTTTAGTTCTGTCCATTCAAGAGAGTGCTGGGCAGAATGCGGTTTCACTGTAGTGTGGGGCCTTCTCACTTCCTGGCGCTCTGACTTGCTGAAGAGTGGCTGCAGAATATTGTTCTTGCCTCGTGTGATTCAAGGGTGGGGTTTATTTCCTGTTGACTGATTTTTTTGGAGTTAGCACAGTAAGTTAGAAACCTTAGGTTTTGGTAATATACTTAAAGTCATGTGATCATCTGTAAAATGTTACTTGAATTTTAGTAATTATTGGTCACATATTTAAAGCAAAAGTGTTACATATCAAGATTCTGAACCTTATTTCTTGGCCAATATATAGAGCTTATAAAGTTCCTGTGAGATTTTGGTTAAGTGGTATGAACTGAAAATGATTAGTTATTTTTGGTAGACATGCAACAAGTATATAGAGTTCTTTTGGTTTAAATGAAAGATTGTTTTATCACTTAACCTGTGTGCATAATTTCACAAACTTTTTATTTGATTAATGGCCACTGGTTTTTTCAACTAAATTTTCTAGCAAAAATTATTCAAGTAATTTATTTTTATAAATATTGTCTTCTTTAAACAGTTTCTACTACAACAGCTGCCTCCATATTAAGCAACCAAACAGGTAAAAATAAGTCTTATTTGTGCTTTGGCTTTTGAATTAGCAGCAAACTGAATCTGCTATTCAGACATTTTGGCCCTATTTTTAAATGTGTCATCCTCTATTTATTTATTTATTATTTATTTATTTATTTATTTATTTATTTATTTTTATTTTGCCTTTTTTAGTTTTTATATTGATTTTTGATTAATTGGTGTTCAGTTACAGTTGTCCTCATGTTTCCCCTTGCTCTCCCCTGCCCTTCCCTCCCCCATCTCCCCTGCCCTTCCCTCCCCCATCTCCCTTCCCTCCCATATTCAGTGCCCCCACACACACAACCGTATTCTTTGTCCATGGGTTCCTTATACATGTCCTTGATGCTTCCTCTTGTTCCCCCCATTGTCGCCTTGGACTTACATCTAAATTGTAATATCAGTGAAAATCTTCTCTATTTGAAGGTTATATGTCCTAAAAAGAATACTCCACATACTACTAATTTGGAGAAAGTGGTTACTGAAAAAAATTCCATGTTAAATTCTTTGAAAATAATTTATAACTTATTTTTAACTAACATCAAAGAATTTTAACTTTAATTGCATGGTTTGTAATTAAAATACTGGCCAGTAGGGTACAAAAGTATATTAAAATGTACGAATACCTGATAAATGAGTTTAACTGTTACATACAGTCATTTATTTGCATTCTAGAGATATGTAAACATGTCCTTCAATACCATTTTAACATACATATCCAAATATTTGTCTCCTCCTTTGTATAACAATCCCACTGGTAACCAGTAGCTCAGGCACAGGTAAGCCAAATATCCAACCACAAGTTAATCAAGGGGGCATTAAAAAAATTCAAAGCTCCCCTTTGCTGGAGCTTACCTTTACAGTGGCATACTTAGGGAAGTGTATTTTCCTTTGTTTTGTTCCTAAGATTGTCTTAGAGGAAGACTTCAGAAAAAATGTCATACAAAATGTTTTTCTGACCTTTTACTTCTGTTCTATGGGTTTTGAAATTTTAATTTCATATCTTAACATCCATTCACCAATATAATCAAATTTCTGTGAAACATTTATTTTGATCCATTCTATGTATAACGACAGATGTTCCCAGCTACATAATTTTCCCTCTACACAAAACTTAATTTTTTCATTTTTTTCTTTAATTTAGCATCTTTCATTCCAGGGAGTGCAACATCAAGCAGTGAAACAACAGGTAGGTGAATTAAAAAGGCCTACAAATGACAAAGATTTTTGCATGTATTAAAATGATTTTATCTCAACTTATTAGAATTAACATACCCAATTTCCTATACTCAGGACCTTATCTTCCCCTAGCTGAACACTTTTGCTTTCTCCATTCTTTCTTCTGTCCAGTATGTGTTTGTACATATATACATATATTTAAATCCATGATATTTTTATGGAAGTATAATTGACGCATAACATTATATTAGTTTCAGATACACAACAATGATTTGGTATTTGTATATATTGAGAAATGATCACCGCAGTAATTCTAGTTAACATCCTATACATCACAGACCACAGATTGCCATTTTTGTGTTTCCTGTTAACCTAGTCACCATTTATATAGTAGTTAGCTTTCAACAATTTTTTTAGGATAACAAAGATCAGAAGAACAAGAAATGTACGGGTATGGTGTAGAGAGAAATCAGGGTTGTTTGAGACTTGGAGGGGCAGCTTTTCCCCGGGTAAAGTACTTTTGATCAAATACTTTGCTGAATTAAGTACTTTTCACTGGTCGCTGGTGTGTTTGTTTCACCAAAGCCTGAAAGGATTAAGAAAGTTATTTTAAGTTCCTTTCCATAAATTTAACAGCATGGAGGTTCCTTAGAAAACTAAAAATAGATCTACTATATGACCCAGTAATTCTATTACTGAGTATTTATCTGAAGAAAACAAAAGCACTAAATCAAAAGATATATTTACCCTATGTTCACTGCAGCACTATTTATAAAAACTAGGATATGAAAGCAATCTAGGTGTCCATTGGTAGACGAAAGGATGAAGAAGACGTGGTCTACATTTACAATGGAATCTTACACAGCAGTGCAAAAGAATGAAATCTTGCCATTTGTGGCAACATGAATGGACCTAGAGGGTATTATGCTAAGTCAAATAACTCAGACTGAGCAAGACAAATATATGGTTTTGCTTATATGTGGAAACTAAAAGTAACAAAACAAATGAACAAAATGAAAACAAACAGAAACAGAGACCAAAGGGATGGCTACAAGAGGGAAGGAAATGAAGAAATGGGAGAAAAAGGTGAAGGGCAATATAGTCAATAACAATTTGTGATAAGTTTGTGTGGTGAAAAATGATTACTAGAATTAGTAAGGTGATCTCACATTGTAAAGTCTAAAAATGTTGAATCACTGTACCGTACACCTGAAACTAATATAACTAATACACTATTGAGTACTGACTATACTTAAAAATTTTCAAAGATGCTGATGAAACCTGTTTTCCAGAATAAACAAACAAACAAACAAACAAATAAATAAAAGCTAGCCGACCTTTCTCAGTTGGATCAAAGGCACTACTGTCAGACAGGAGAAATAACTAAGTCCTCAAAAGAGGATTGATGATTTATTTGACTTTACACTGGAGCATCATGGGTAGAAGTTGAGGTAGAATTTTATTGTGGCACATGTCATTGAGGTAAATAGCGTAGGAATAAAGTGCACGCTTTGCAAATTTAGAAAAACATTACAGAAAACTTTAAAAGCATAAGGAAATCAATATACAAAGCTTAAGCTTTTTTTCATGTTTTATATATTCATTTTCTTTCCTATGCAGTAAATGTTTCAATGGCTTAATATACTATGAGAGATGCCTAGCCAACAATTCCAGTTGAATATTATTTTTTAGAAAAAAATATGCAGTTATGTTTTTTCTTGTTTACATCTACTGCTCTTGACACAAAGCTAACATTTACTGAGCATAGTTCTAGGTTTGTGACACATATTATCACATTTCATACAGAAAACTCTATGAAGCAGGTCCAATTATTTTCCCCAATTAACAAAGGAGGAAATGAAAACATGAAGAGGTTAAATTATGTGTCCAAGTCACTTGTTAATAAGTAGCAGAGAGAGAATTAAAAGGCAGGACATCATCTCTAGATTCCACTCTTATGCTTCTGTCTTTTGATGTTTAAGAAAGAGAATAAAGCTGGATTTAATTTAATTGCATTATTGAAGTAGCATATCATTACAGATTCTAATTTCAAAGTGGAAATTGTGTTATAATTTATAATGTGTTCTGTAAGTTTGTATTAAAACTAATTAAGAGTCATTGATTATATGGCATACTGATTCATAAAATTAAAAAGCAGGTTTCTGTCTCATAACAATTTGATATCTTAAAATGCATTTTTCTTTTCTCAAAAATTTAAATTCCAGAATGATATAACTATAGGTTATGTAGAAATGTTTAAATTTTCTTTTTTTGTGTGTGATATGCCTATTCTAAAATAGTACCAATCATACAAAGAAAATAATTACATCAGGCTATTATGGACAGCCAGCTGATTGTAGAGAGAAGTTAAAGCAAAAAAATTAAGAATCTGAATCCCTTTATTTCTACTTACTAGCTATACGACCCTAGCTAAAGTCCCTCAACATTAGTTTTCTCATCTGAAGTGGGAAAAATGAAATATCTACATTATAGGACTTTAGAGAAGAGTAACTGGCATTGTGCAGCTTAGTGTAATACATAGTAATACTCAGTAATTTTATTACTAGTAACATTTCATAAAGAATAATTTATTACATATGTGAATTTAAATTTTAGCAGAGACACAATATTTTTCAGTAAATAATTAGAAGCATGCCGCTTCCTGAATTAATAAAAAGTTTGTGGATTTTAATTTTTCCCCAGCAATAAGATATTTTACAAAACTGTAAGCTCTGCAGTGCTGAATTTATTGTTTATTAGAGAATATATTATGGATATTCCTTAATCTTATCTTTCAGACATTTATATTAAAAAAGGAATCCATTGAAGGAAAATGAAAAAATAATTTTTTAATAAAATTAAAATGGTTCAGAAGTAATGAGAAAAACTTATTAATAGCTGGAAAGTTAATTTCAAGATTTTATTTTAATTACCATATTTTGTCATCTACACTTTTTTGCCCAAATGTTTGAAGAAAAAAATAGGAATGCACATTATACTTGAGTAGTACCTAAAATACTTTGTATCTGATCTTGTGTTTTGTAATTATTAATTATATAAAAGTTCTTGTACCATAAAATGTTAAAAAATAAATGCCAAAATTTCTTTATAATACAACAAAAACACGTATCTAAATATAAATAATTAAATAATTGAATTAAAAAATTAAAATGAATGGTTCTTTTCCTGAATGTTTAGGCTAAAAATGTGGGTGCACAGTATACCTGGGAGCACATTATACATGTCAAAATATGGCAATAAGTTTATCATGAGGTGGAAAATAAATAAAATTAAAATAATAAAATAAATTATCTTTATTAAGTTCATCATGAGCTAAAAATAAGTGGACACAGTCACTTTGAAAATTTTTAGGGTGGATGACTATTTCATAATGCACAGAGCTGTCAATATTTTGGCAAAGGCTGTTCTTCCCTTTACTGTTTATGTCTGATGACAAGGAAGATGATACAAAGTAATTCACAGCATCAATGACATTATCATGTGTGCCCATTTGCTAGTAATGGCAAAATCGACTGAAATTGTAAGTTATGGATGTCGAAACTGAGAAGAGTAAGGCTTTATCAGTTTTAGTCATTGAACTATGAAGAAAAGTGGATTCTTATATATTCCTAAAGGCTTATCCCTACTGTGTTGTTGTGTCAACAATTTCAGACTTATGTCTTTTGAAAAAGGAAGCAATGTTAGAGTAGCCTGACTGGTGTGTACTTTAATCTGTGACTAGTTTAGCTAACCTAATAAAAGATGAGACCTTGAAATCCACTTCGGAGCAGGTTGCCATGTTAACTACACCAATTACATGGAAAAGTCTATAAATGTTTTATCATTAATATGCTAAAAATATTTCTGATTTGTTCTCTACCATTCATGGTGTACTACTGTGTTCCCCATAACTCCATGTTAATAGGAGCATATTTAGATGTGGAAATTCTGGAGATTTTATTTTAGTCCATGTGATGATACTGTTTTTAATTAAATTTAGTGTTTTCAATTTGCAAGAGCTCAAATTGGGACCATTGGAAATCCTTGGAGGTTAAATCTGTCCTGGGAAATGGAATCTGCACTAAAAGTTGAAGTCTTGGAAGCCTTTGTCGACCATAGAGTTGTAGTCTTTCTATCCTATTCTTGCATCCAGATTATCAAGACATTTTAATTCAAATGTTCAATTTTCCATTTATTAGTGAGAAAAGATATCAAGATCTGAATTGGTGTCTGCTTGATACTGATCTAAAAATTCTTTGTAATTAAAGCTTGGCACTAATTTTGACAATTCACACATAAAGGTTCTCTCAAACTAAATAACATTTTGTAAAGTAACCAGAGGAGACATGATATTTTATTATGTATTTAATATATTCTATAATTCTAGTCTAATTTTTAATATTACTATTCGTATTGTAAGTGGGCAATAAAAAACAAAAACTGCAAGAAGTGGTGCATCATACACAGAGGTACCACTACATAAAAAGCTTTATGCATCACAGTCCTAGGTACTAAGTGACTTAGATTTTAGCCCAGGTTTTCTCACTGAGTAGCAGTGATCTTGATTAAATAAGTTCCCTTTTCTGACTCTAATTCTGTATATGTAGAATAATTATAATACTTTTATTTCATTCATTCACGTGTTCATTCATGCATTCGATTGACAAATAGTTATCAAGCATCTATTATGTGCTGGGCACTCTGATATTATTAGAGATAAAAAGGTGAGTTAAAATAAACCTGTTTCCTGCTTTTATAAAACCTATAGTCTAGTCAGGAAGATGAGTATAAATCAAGTAATTCCAAAAACAAATAACTTGCATCAAGAGCTATGAAGTACATAAAGTATGAGTGAGGAAGAGCAGGAATTTAATTAAGTCAATCTTGAGTCAAGATTTAATTAAGCCAGAAAGGCTGAAGTAAAAATGACTGAGTTCAGAAGTGACCAGTGAATATTTATGTAGTCACAAAGGAGAGAAACTGTTCCAATACAGGGAAGTACAAATAGCAGGAATGAAAGACAGAAAGAGGGCCAGTGTGGGTGGCTTCATAAAGAGGGTCAAATAGATATATTGTGAGGATTTTTTTCCTTCTTTTTTAAGTTAAAAACTACTACAACATAGTAAAGGGGCATTACTACATAAACAATAGATTTCCAGAGATAGTCAATAGAAATTAAGACTGAAATACAGAAAATAGCTGACACTTAATTATTTACGAAAGCCAGAATTTAATAAAATCTTATTTTCAAGTCCACAGACCTGTCTCAACAAACATTGTATACGTTCCTATAACATTCCTGCCAATAGGGCCCGCATTGGGAACACAAAGATCAAATCATGGCCTCTTCCTTCAGGAGTTTATTGGTATCTTCAACTTTATCCCTGCAAGCCTGCTTTTTCAAATCATAAAAAAAATCCTAAAAAGTGTCTCTCCCTTCTCTCACCCCAAACTCTTATAGACTGCTTTATAGAAATGCTGCTTTACAGGAAAATATTGGAGGCTCAGATAACCAGAAGTAGAGTGAAGTCAGAGAAACAAACTGCCAAATCAGCCCCTGCTTAACAAAGCATTACTTGACTCTGTCATGGTTAATATACAGGGGTGGGCAAAGGGGGTTAATAATAATGATGAATAATACAATAATAAATAAATGAATAAAACAAGAGTAAGCTCTGCATTTCAAATACTTGCAACTATAAGCCTACTTTTGCCCACTCCTTTGGATCTATTCCATTCCCTCTGTATTTAGTAGAATTCAGCACATAGGTATGTGTATATTTCACACACACATACATTGGAAAGCATGTTATAATGCCACTATTTAAAAATAAGTTAAAAAGTTATTATCCTTCTCAACACAAAATATATTGCAAAGTGCCAGCTATTAAAAACTAACAAAGAAACAGTCTTTCTGTATTTTCCCTTGAGGTCAGAAAACTCATATCATTTCTCATTTTCTTATCAGAAACAACTCTAAGTCTACCCACTGAACCTTTGGCGACAGGTTAGTATATTAATTCCTGGTTTTTTATGTTAAAAATAGATAACAGTATAAATTATTAGTAAGTCTGGGTTTCTAAGAAAATATTATATGGAAAATTGTCTTTTAAAAATATTTAAAACAAGAAGTTTACTATTTTATTTCCACTAGTTTTTAAATTTTTAAATGAATTTAACTAGTCTTTGGCCAATTTATATTTGTTGGCTATAATCTGATTTCCAGTTTTATTTTTTTCATATTATTAAATAGTAGTACAGTATCTATAGCAGTACTAAATGACATCAAGTTTAAAACTTTTAAAAAAGAACATAGGATGAGAGAAAATATATATCTAATGATATGTTCTTTTAGGTGTTTTAAGTATAAAAGTAGCAATTAGCTCCTCTATGATAGTATTTCACCCTTGTTACAACCAGTCCTGGGTGACAGTATGATTAAGTTCCATTTTTTTTAGAGTAACCATGCCAAAACAAAAGTCTGGAGACTTAGTGTGACCCCATTATTGATACAAAGAACATGACTTTGTTTAAAAAAAATAGCAAGGACTAAATGAAAACTTAGAGGAAAGTGTAATCCAACTAGCCAAAAAAGAGTTCACACTCCCCTGTGTGCAGCAAGTCATTGAGAACCGACACTGGGTTTTGCAGTGAAGATAAACTGTTTTACCGAAATGACACCACCCAGGAGAAGGGGAACCTAGAGCTCAAAATCCCAAGTTGCCTGTGGCTTACAGAAGAGAAGTTTTATTGAACAAAAATCATGAGTAATCATGAGTAAGGGGCTTTGGGTCATGTGACTTGCTGGTGGGTCCTAGATTTGGTTAGCAGTTAATTATCATCTTCCAGTTGTCCTAGAGTCAGGTTTCAGCAAGACTGTGGTGGGGTGGTCGTTCAACTTTGTGGGCTGAAATATATCTCAACAGTGCACGTCAATAGGTTACCATGGTGTGCAAGGGGGAAAGCTGTAAATCATGTGACCTTTACTCATTGTATGCTGTCATTATATCTGCTGATTTGATTATGTGTTTTAGCAAGAGCCCAACAAGTCCTGGGCTAAGCACTTTCTATAATTGTTGTCCAAATGCTACATGACTTCCTTCTTGTGGCTGTTAAAAGAGCTTACAATCCTATTATGTATTAACAGTACTTTTTTGAGGGTATGAATGCTCTGTCTTCAAACACAAAATTAGAAAACTATCATAGGGAATTCTGGGCCAAAAGTCACTGGATTCTCGATCCTATTTTATATAGTGGGAACGGAGTGACCAGTTATGTTAGCTGTGCTACAATGCTTAAGATGAGATGAGTTCATTTTCTATTTTTCTCAGGTGTTATGAGTACTCAGTTTCCTATCACCGTCACAGCTGGAAGTGCAGGAACAACAGAAGTAGTGGGTGTCCTCTTCACTAGTCCTTGGCATGTATCAGGTACGTGAAGTTCAGAACAGAGTACACAGCCATGTCTAAGCATCTAGTTTCAGGCAATGATGTGCAGTACAATGTTTTATGAAATAAAGAGAGCTGACTTAGGTATAATAACAGATATGGGTCTTCTTTACATGTAATTAAAGACTAGAGTCTTTGGTTTTCTCACAGCTTGATTCCATAAAGTTTATCATGTTGTTAGAATTATATGGACCAATTACCTGGGGTGTCGATAGCGCCAGTGCACTTGGTATTAGCATGTGTTTGTTTTTCCTTTGCCTTCCTCAGGAACCACTGGAGCATCAGCAGGTGCAACCTCAGGAGCCAAAACCAACACTACAGGCGACACAGACTTCAGAGATGGTGAGAGAAAGAAATGAGTCAAATGCTATTTCTCCTGTAGTATCTTCTCACAGGTCATCCTCTGTTCTACTCAGAAACATTGCACCCTGGGTACAGCATCAGATACCAGGATCAGGGGGCAATGTCTGCATCAAATCACCTGGACATTCTAGGAAAATATTCAATAATTAGTCTTCATATATTAGTAAAATTTTAGTGACATATTTCTATAGTACACTGAAATGTCAGAATTATGCTCAAATTTATAACATAATTTAATCCACATTAAAACTATATAGTAAAATCAATGTATGCTATTAAAAGGAGAAAAATAAAAGATTTCAAGGCTGACAGAAGCAGGATTAGAACACAGAACCCCGAGTCTTCTCTGTAATTGTTCTACTGTTCCTTGATCTATGCATAAATCGTAGATCCTAACCGCCCTTCTCGCTCCCCTGAAAAAAAAAAGCCAAATGAAGATAACGCTTACCCTTGTGCATTACTGGCTAAATTTCACCTATTGCTAGTTTCATGAATAAAACATTATTATTTCTTAAACATACATAATTTTGATTAAAACAAACCTGACTGAGTTCCCGCTTACCCCTTATGAAGTAGTTAATGTAAAGTACCTCTTGCATTTTCTCATCTGCATCACATTGGTTCTGCTTGTGCTCACCTGTTAAATATTTTCCTCTGGTCTTGGCAGTGGTCCACAGACTCCCCTTCCCTTCACACAGTGGTGATCAAAATGTGCTTCTTAATCCAACAGCAACTACTTGTTCTGCAAACATTTTAGAAATGCGACTTGTTAGGTGCACTTCTCTAAAATCAGAAGCACTTAAGAGTGAAACCCAGCACAGTGTATTACTTAACAAGCCCCTTTAGCAACTGGTGCTTATCAAAGTTGAGAACATTTCCATTCTCCACTTCCCTCCCAGTTTACTCCATAGTCAGTACCCCAGACCAGAAAGGAATGGACTTGGGAACACTCAGCTGTCACCATGTCAATCCACTACTTAAAATCCTACAGTTGTTTTGACTGTTGTCAGGATAAATATCTTGACATACCACTAAAAGCCATGTCTTTAGAGTATGCATGGGACTTCTCTTTATGACTTAATCAATAAAATCAGGATCTGATTTTGTTAACTAATATATCATTCTGATTTGGTTTATATACATTTATTTTTCTTAGCAAATTTATTGGCCAAAAATTTATGTCATATACTATAAGGAATAAAATAGAGTTTATAAAAATGTGTCATCTGAGAGAATCAACAGCACCACACATTAAGAAACTGGTTTCAATTACAGCAGTGACCTGACTGAAATGTCAGGGTAATGATGGTTTAGTTTACATTTCCTGAAGTTTGAATCAAAATTATTTGGGTAACAATGACAAGTTGGTCTGTTGTTGTTGTTGCTGCTGTTGCTGCTGCTGCTGCTGCTGCTGCTGCTGCTGATGATGATGATGTTATCAGGGAGTAAGTAGTTTTAAACAGGGCCGCACAGGTTTTCTTCAGAAGCGAGTGTCATCCAGAACTGTTTGTACTGGTCCATGATGAGATTGTGATTGAAACAGAGAAGAGGCACTTGGAAACAGCCAAGTTACTTAGGGATGTATACCTTTTAAATAAAAGCATATGTTTTGGATGATTTGATTTTAAATAATTTTATTGCTCTACTTTATGGATATTCCCAAAACATCATTAAGAGCATATGGAAATGTTCACAGTATGACACTTCTACCACAGATCATTGAGAGCAAAAGTTAGAGTTAAACTCTGGGACTAGACCACGTGGGTTTGCCAACCAACCCAGTCACCTGAAGATGTCACTCCGCCACGACTGCTAAAGGGAAGAATGACATTACTTGCCTCAGAGGACTGATGTAAAACTAAGTGAGTAGATCCATGTCTAGGGCATTTTTTAAATGCTATATATATATATTTTTTTCAGCTGGATCAGGGGCCCCTACTGCACCAGTAATAGAACCCGAAGAAGTTACTACACCCAGAGAAGCAAGTACAGGAGCAACAAGCCCAGGAAAATCAGGCAAGTCAGGATGTACACCTTCATGCCCATTAAATGGTATTGAATATTTATAGGTTGAGCTAAGGATTAGATTTGTGTAAAATTAGACCATCTAGGTGCAGAAGTCCTAGGTACCATTTTAAGATTTCTTTTATATTAGAAACCTCAATTCTTCTCTGGCTGGTGTGGCTCAGTGGATTGAATGCTGGCATGCAAACGAAAGGGTTGCTTGTTCTATTTCTAGTCTAGAGCACATGCCAGAGTTGCAGGCCAGATCCCTAGTAGGGGATACACGAGAGGCAATCACACATTGATGTTTCTCTCTCTCTCTTCCCATCCTTTTCCTACTAAAAATAAATAAATAAATTAATTAACTAAAAAAGAGATCTTGATTCAGTCCCATAAGTAGAGTGACAGGTGGAATCCTGCAGCTCTAGAAGTAATGCCCCTTACTCACTGTTAAGTTAGGCACCTAGGGAGAAGCAGAGACCTTCACCACAGCAGCTGGGATCAAAGGCACCACTGGAGGCTCACCTGCCCCAGGCATAGCCTCGGGAGGCAGGCAGGTGGGGTAATGAGGGGTCTGTAGCATGTTCATACTGATCTTAGGGAAGTCACACCATCAGGGCAGCTTCACTATTACTTATTGGTTAAGGCACATACTCATGGCTTCACCACTACATAGTCCGGCTATAATGACCTCCTATGAAACACACATTCACCATCTAGTCTGTTTCTCTAATACATGTAGCCCGTTTCATCCTCATAGCTTTTGCAGTGGATGTTCCTACCAATTATAATAATTCCCCAGAGTTTCACATAGCTGTTAGCTTCTTTTTAAAAATCTCAAACTAAACAGTATTATTTCAGAGATACTGCTAGCCAGGCTCCTAAAATAAAACTTCAGGTGTTGATAATTACCTCTCCTTAAGTTAGTGCTTTAAGTCTTTATTGTTTGAAAATTTGGTTGGTTGGTTGGTTGGTTGGTTGGTAATTAATGTTACTTATATGTATCCATGTCTCTCACATCTACTAGGATTCTATGGGGATCAGAGAACTATCTACCTAACAGCCATATCTGACAAGAACTACTCAAAGCATTTTAAATTTTTATTCAATAAAATGGGAAATAATACTATAATTGTCATACTGTTGTTCTAATGGAAAAATGAGGTAATATATATAACTGAAAATTTACATGACATGTGAGATATTAAAAACTGTTGATCGAGTAACAGTTAAAAGACAGTTACACCACACACACAAAAAAAGGTATAAAACAGGTGAGTTTCCCACAGGATCCAGATGCACAATAGTTATAGTCTAAAAGAAAGGAACATGCGATCTTAGGTTAACCAAGGTCAAAAACATTTAAAAGAACATATTTTTACTACATGTTTTCAAAGGCACTACAGGAATATCAGCTGAAGAATCAGGTGCCACAACAGTACAATCCTCTGGGGTGACTGCAACATTGGGACCATCATCTGGAGGATCAGGGACGACAGGACCATCTAGTGGAGAATCGGGCACAACAGGAACGTCTTCGGCAGGTTCACAACCCACTGCATCAGCATCCGGGAAATCAGGGACAACCTCAGCCTCAGGGCCAGCTGCAGGAACAAGTGCTGCAGGAGCTGAAGTGACAGGAACTAGTGGTGGAGCACCAGGAGGATCAGGGACAACTGGTTCAGCTGCTGGCTCTCCAGGGACAGCTGGGTCGACTCGTGGAGCACCTGGAACAAGTGGACCATCGCCTGGAGGATCAGGGACCACAGGACCATCTAGTGGAGAATCGGGCACAACAGGAACGTCTTCGGCAGGTTCACAACCCACTGCATCAGCATCCGGGAAATCAGGGACAACCTCAGCCTCAGGGCCAGCTGCAGGAACAAGTGCTGCAGGAGCTGAAGTGACAGGAACTAGTGGTGGAGCACCAGGAGGATCAGGGACAACTGGTTCAGCTGCTGGCTCTCCAGGGACAGCTGGGTCAACTCGTGGAGCACCTGGAACAAGTGGACCATCGCCTGGAGGATCAGGGACCACAGGACCATCTAGTGGAGAATCGGGCACAACAGGAACGTCTTCGGCAGGTTCACAACCCACTGCATCAGCATCCGGGAAATCAGGGACAACCTCAGCCTCAGGGCCAGCTGCAGGAACAAGTGCTGCAGGAGCTGAAGTGACAGGAACTAGTGGTGGAGCACCAGGAGGATCAGGGACAACTGGTTCAGCTGCTGGCTCTCCAGGGACAGCTGGGTCGACTCGAGGAGCACCTGGAACAAGTGGACCATCGCCTGGAGGATCAGGGACCACAGGACCATCTAGTGGAGAATCGGGCACAACAGGAACGTCTTCGGCAGGTTCACAACCCACTGCATCAGCATCCGGGGAATCAGGGACAACCTCAGCCTCAGGGCCAGCTGCAGGAACAAGTGCTGCAGGAGCCGAAGTGACAGGAACTAGTGGTGGAGCACCAGGAGGATCAGGGACAACTGGTTCAGCTGCTGGCTCTCCAGGGACAGCTGGGTCGACTCGAGGAGCACCTGGAACAAGTGGACCATCGCCTGGAGGATCAGGGACCACAGGACCATCTAGTGGAGAATCGGGCACAACAGGAACGTCTTCGGCAGGTTCACAACCCACTGCATCAGCATCCGGGAAATCAGGGACAACCTCAGCCTCAGGGCCAGCTGCAGGAACCAGTGCTGCAGGAGCTGAAGTGACAGGAACCAGTGGTGGAGCACCAGGAGGGTCAGGGACAACTGGTTCAGCTGCTGGCTCTCCAGGGACAGCTGGGTCGACTCGAGGAGCACCTGGAACAAGTGGACCATCGCCTGGAGGATCAGGGACCACAGGACCATCTAGTGGAGAATCGGGCACAACAGGAACGTCTTCAGCAGGTTCACAACCCACTGCATCAGCATCCGGGAAATCAGGGACAACCTCAGCCTCAGGGCCAGCTGCAGGAACAAGTGCTGCAGGAGCTGAAGTGACAGGAACTACTGGTGGAGCACCAGGAGGATCAGGGACAACTGGTTCAGCTGCTGGCTCTCCAGGGACAGCTGGGTCGACTCGAGGAGCACCTGGAACAAGTGGACCATCGCCTGGAGGATCAGGGACCACAGGACCATCTAGTGGAGAATCGGGCACAACAGGAACGTCTTCGGCAGGTTCACAACCCACTGCATCAGCATCCGTGGAATCAGGGACAACCTCAGCCTCAGGGCCAGAGCTGCAGGAACAAGTGCAGGACGTGCAGGAGCTGAAGTGACAGGAACTAGTGGAGGAGCACCAGGAGGATCAGGGACAACTGGTTCAGCTGCTGGCTCTCCAGGGACAGCTGGGTCGACTCGAGGAGCACCTGCAACAAGTGGACCATCGCCTGGAGGATCAGGGACCACAGGACCATCTAGTGGAGAATCGGGCACAACAGGAACGTCTTCGGCAGGTTCACAACCCACTGCATCAGCATCCGGGAAATCAGGGACAACCTCAGCCTCAGGGCCAGCTGCAGGAACAAGTGCTGCAGGAGCTGAAGTGACGGGAACTAGTGGTGGAGCACCAGGAGGATCAGGGACAACTGGTTCAGCTGCTGGCTCTCCAGGGACAGCTGGGTCGACTCGAGGAGCACCTGCAACAAGTGGACCATCGCCTGGAGGATCAGGGACCACAGGACCATCTAGTGGAGAATCGGGCACAACAGGAACGTCTTCGGCAGGTTCACAACCCACTGCATCAGCATCCGGGAAATCAGGGACAACCTCAGCCTCAGGGCCAGCTGCAGGAACAAGTGCTGCAGGAGCTGAAGTGACAGGAACTACTGGTGGAGCACCAGGAGGATCAGGGACAACTGGTTCAGCTGCTGGCTCTCCAGGGACAGCTGGGTCGACTCGAGGAGCACCTGGAACAAGTGGACCATCGCCTGGAGGATCAGGGACCACAGGACCATCTAGTGGAGAATCGGGCACAACAGGAACGTCTTCGGCAGGTTCACAACCCACTGCATCAGCATCCGGGAAATCAGGGACAACCTCAGCCTCAGGGCCAGCTGCAGGAACAAGTGCTGTAGGAACAAGTGCTGCAGGAGCTGAAGTGACAGGAACTACTGGTGGAGCACCAGGAGGATCAGGGACAACTGGTTCAGCTGCTGGCTCTCCAGGGACAGCAGGGTCGACTCCAGGAGCACCTGGAACAAGTGTACCATTGCCTGGAGGATCAGGGACCACAGGACCATCAAGTGGAAAATCGGGCACAACAGGAACGTCTTCGGCAGGTTCACAACCCACTGCATCAGCATCCGGGAAATCAGGGACAACCTCAGCCTCAGGGCCAGCTGCAGGAACAAGTGCTGCAGGAGCTGAAGTGACAGGAACTAGTGGTGGAGCACCAGGAGGATCAGGGACAACTGGTTCAGCTGCTGGCTCTCCAGGGACAGCTGGGTCGACTCGAGGAGCACCTGGAACAAGTGGACCATCGCCTGGAGGATCAGGGACCACAGGACCATCTAGTGGAGAATCGGGCACAACAGGAACGTCTTCGGCAGGTTCACAACCCACTGCATCAGCATCCGGGAAATCAGGGACAACCTCAGCCTCAGGGCCAGCTGCAGGAACAAGTGCTGCAGCAGCTGAAGTGACGGGAACTAGTGGTGGAGCACCAGGAGGGTCAGGGACAACTGGTTCAGCTGCTGGCTCTCCAGGGACAGCTGGGTCGACTCGAGGAGCACCTGCAACAAGTGGACCATCGCCTGGAGGATCAGGGACCACAGGACCATCTAGTGGAGAATCGGGCACAACAGGAACGTCTTCGGCAGGTTCACAACCCACTGCATCAGCATCCGGGAAATCAGGGACAACCTCAGCCTCAGGGCCAGCTGCAGGAACAAGTGCTGCAGGAGCTGAAGTGACAGGAACTAGTGGTGGAGCACCAGGAGGATCAGGGACAACTGGTTCAGCTGCTGGCTCTCCAGGGACAGCTGGGTCGACTCGAGGAGCACCTGGAACAAGTGGACCATCGCCTGGAGGATCAGGGACCACAGGACCATCTAGTGGAGAATCGGGCACAACAGGAACGTCTTCGGCAGGTTCACAACCCACTGCATCAGCATCCGGGAAATCAGGGACAACCTCAGCCTCAGGGCCAGCTGCAGGAACAAGTGCTGCAGGAGCTGAAGTGACGGGAACTAGTGGTGGAGCACCAGGAGGATCAGGGACAACTGGTTCAGCTGCTGGCTCTCCAGGGACAGCTGGGTCGACTCGAGGAGCACCTGGAACAAGTGGACCATCGCCTGGAGGATCAGGGACCACAGGACCATCTAGTGGAGAATCGGGCACAACAGGAACGTCTTCGGCAGGTTCACAACCCACTGCATCAGCATCCGGGAAATCAGGGACAACCTCAGCCTCAGGGCCAGCTGCAGGAACAAGTGCTGCAGGAGCTGAAGTGACAGGAACTACTGGAGGAGCACCAGGAGGATCAGGGACAACTGGTTCAGCTGCTGGCTCTCCAGGGACAGCTGGGTCGACTCGAGGAGCACCTGGAACAAGTGGACCATCGCCTGGAGGATCAGGGACCACAGGACCATCTAGTGGAGAATCGGGCACAACAGGAACGTCTTCGGCAGGTTCACAACCCACTGCATCAGCATCCAGGGAATCAGAGACAACCTCAGCCTCAGGGCCAGCTGCAGGAACAAGTGCTGCAGGAGCTGAAGTGACAGGAACTAGTGGTGGAGCACCAGGAGGATCAGGGACAACTGGTTCAGCTGCTGGCTCTCCAGGGACAGCTGGGTCGACTCGAGGAGCACCTGGAACAAGTGGACCATCGCCTGGAGGATCAGGGACCACAGGACCATCTAGTGGAGAATCGGGCACAACAGGAACGTCTTCGGCAGGTTCACAACCCACTGCATCAGCATCCGGGAAATCAGGGACAACCTCAGCCTCAGGGCCAGCTGCAGGAACAAGTGCTGCAGGAGCTGAAGTGACAGGAACTAGTGGTGGAGCACCAGGAGGATCAGGGACAACTGGTTCAGCTGCTGGCTCTCCAGGGACAGCTGGGTCGACTCGAGGAGCACCTGGAACAAGTGGACCATCGCCTGGAGGATCAGGGACCACAGGACCATCTAGTGGAGAATCGGGCACAACAGGAACGTCTTCGGCAGGTTCACAACCCACTGCATCAGCATCCGGGAAATCAGGGACAACCTCAGCCTCAGGGCCAGCTGCAGGAACAAGTGCTGCAGGAGCTGAAGTGACAGGAACTAGTGGTGGAGCACCAGGAGGATCAGGGACAACTGGTTCAGCTGCTGGCTCTCCAGGGACAGCTGGGTCGACTCGAGGAGCACCTGGAACAAGTGGACCATCGCCTGGAGGATCAGGGACCACAGGACCATCTAGTGGAGAATCGGGCACAACAGGAACGTCTTCGGCAGGTTCACAACCCACTGCATCAGCATCCGGGAAATCAGGGACAACCTCAGCCTCAGGGCCAGCTGCAGGAACAAGTACTGCAGGAGCCGAAGTGACAGGAACTACTGGTGGAGCACCAGGAGGATCAGGGACAACTGGTTCAGCTGCTGGCTCTCCAGGGACAGCTGGGTCGACTCGAGGAGCACCTGCAACAAGTGGACCATCGCCTGGAGGATCAGGGACCACAGGACCATCTAGTGGAGAATCGGGCACAACAGGAACGTCTTCGGCAGGTTCACAACCCACTGCATCAGCATCCGGGAAATCAGGGACAACCTCAGCCTCAGGGCCAGCTGCAGGAACAAGTGCTGCAGGAGCTGAAGTGACAGGAACTAGTGGTGGAGCACCAGGAGGATCAGGGACAACTGGTTCAGCTGCTGGCTCTCCAGGGACAGCTGGGTCGACTCGAGGAGCACCTGGAACAAGTGGACCATCGCCTGGAGGATCAGGGACCACAGGACCATCTAGTGGAGAATCGGGCACAACAGGAACGTCTTCGGCAGGTTCACAACCCACTGCATCAGCATCCGGGAAATCAGGGACAACCTCAGCCTCAGGGCCAGCTGCAGGAACAAGTGCTGCAGGAGCTGAAGTGACAGGAACTAGTGGTGGAGCACCAGGAGGATCAGGGACAACTGGTTCAGCTGCTGGCTCTCCAGGGACAGCTGGGTCGACTCGAGGAGCACCTGGAACAAGTGGACCATCGCCTGGAGGATCAGGGACCACAGGACCATCTAGTGGAGAATCGGGCACAACAGGAACGTCTTCGGCAGGTTCACAACCCACTGCATCAGCATCCGGGAAATCAGGGACAACCTCAGCCTCAGGGCCAGCTGCAGGAACAAGTGCTGCAGGAGCTGAAGTGACAGGAACTAGTGGTGGAGCACCAGGAGGGTCAGGGACAACTGGTTCAGCTGCTGGCTCTCCAGGGACAGCTGGGTCGACTCGAGGAGCACCTGGAACAAGTGGACCATCGCCTGGAGGATCAGGGACCACAGGACCATCTAGTGGAGAATCGGGCACAACAGGAACGTCTTCGGCAGGTTCACAACCCACTGCATCAGCATCCGGGAAATCAGGGACAACCTCAGCCTCAGGGCCAAGGAAAGGCTGCAGGAACAAGTGCTGCAGGAGCTGAAGTGACAGGAACTAGTGGTGGAGCACCAGGAGGATCAGGGACAACTGGTTCAGCTGCTGGCTCTCCAGGGACAGCAGGGTCGACTCGAGGAGCACCTGGAACAAGTGGACCATCGCCTGGAGGATCAGGGACCACAGGACCATCTAGTGGAGAATCGGGCACAACAGGAACGTCTTCGGCAGGTTCACAACCCACTGCATCAGCATCCGGGAAATCAGGGACAACCTCAGCCTCAGGGCCAGCTGCAGGAACAAGTGCTGCAGGAGCTGAAGTGACAGGAACTAGTGGAGGAGCACCAGGAGGATCAGGGACAACTGGTTCAGCTGCTGGCTCTCCAGGGACAGCTGGGTCGACTCGAGGAGCACCTGGAACAAGTGGACCATCGCCTGGAGGATCAGGGACCACAGGACCATCTAGTAGAGAATCGGGCACAACAGGAACGTCTTCGGCAGGTTCACAACCCACTGCATCAGCATCCGGGAAATCAGGGACAACCTCAGCCTCAGGGCCAGCTGCAGGAACAAGTACTGCAGGAGCTGAAGTGACAGGAACTAGTGGTGGAGCACCAGGAGGATCAGGGACAACTGGTTCAGCTGCTGGCTCTCCAGGGACAGCAGGGTCGACTCGAGGAGCACCTGCAACAAGTGGACCATCGCCTGGAGGATCAGGGACCACAGGACCATCTAGTGGAGAATCGGGCACAACAGGAACGTCTTCGGCAGGTTCACAACCCACTGCATCAGCATCCGGGGAATCAGGGACAACCTCAGCCTCAGGGCCAGCTGCAGGAACAAGTGCTGCAGGAGCTGAAGTGACAGGAACTACTGGTGGAGCACCAGGAGGATCAGGGACAACTGGTTCAGCTGCTGGCTCTCCAGGGACAGCTGGGTCGACTCGAGGAGCACCTGGAACAAGTGGACCATCGCCTGGAGGATCAGGGACCACAGGACCATCTAGTGGAGAATCGGGCACAACAGGAACGTCTTCGGCAGGTTCACAACCCACTGCATCAGCATCCGTGGAATCAGGGACAACCTCAGCCTCAGGGCCAGCTGCAGGAACAAGTGCTGTAGGAACAAGTGCTGCAGGAGCTGAAGTGACAGAAACTACTGGAGGAGCACCAGGAGGATCAGGGACAACTGGTTCAGCTGCTGGCTCTCCAGGGACAGCTGGGTCGACTCGAGGAGCACCTGGAACAAGTGGACCATCGCCTGGAGGATCAGGGACCACAGGACCATCTAGTGGAGAATCGGGCACAACAGGAACGTCTTCGGCAGGTTCACAACCCACTGCATCAGCATCCGGGGAATCAGGGACAACCTCAGCCTCAGGGCCAGCTGCAGGAACAAGTGCTGCAGGAGCTGAAGTGACAGGAACTAGTGGTGGAGCTCCAGGAGGATCAGGGACAACTGGTTCAGCTGTTGCCTCTCCAGGGACAGCTGGGTCGACTCGAGGAGCACCTGGAACAAGTGGACCATCGCCTGGAGGATCAGGGACCACGGGACCATCTAGTGGAGAATCGGGCACAACAGGAACATCTTCGGCAGGTTCACAACCCACTGCATCAGCATCCGGGGAAATCAGGGACAACCTCAGCCTCAGGGCCAGCTGCAGGAACAAGTGCTGCAGGAGCTGAAGTGACAGGAACTACTGGAGGAGCACCAGGAGGATCAGGGACAACTGGTTCAGCTGCTGGCTCTCCAGGGACAGCAGGGTCGACTCGAGGGGCACCTGCAACAAGTGGACCATCGCCTGGAGGATCAGGGACCACAGGACCATCTAGTGGAGAATCGGGCACAACAGGAACGTCTTCGGCAGGTTCACAACCCACTGCATCAGCATCCGGGGAATCAGGGACAACCTCAGCCTCAGGGCCAGCTGCAGGAACAAGTGCTGCAGGAGCTGAAGTGACAGGAACTACTGGAGGAGCACCAGGAGGATCAGGGACAACTGGTTCAGCTGCTGGCTCTCCAGGGACAGCAGGGTCGACTCGAGGAGCACCTGGAACAAGTGGACCATCGCCTGGAGGATCAGGGACCACGGGACCATCTAGTGGAGAATCGGGCACAACAGGAACATCTTCGGCAGGTTCACAACCCACTGCATCAGCATCCGGGGAATCAGGGACAACCTCAGCCTCAGGGCCAGCTGCAGGAACAAGTGCTGCAGGAGCTGAAGTGACAGGAACTAGTGGAGGAGCACCAGGAGGATCAGGGACAACTGGTTCAGCTGCTGGCTCTCCAGGGACAGCAGGGTCGACTCGAGGAGCACCTGCAACAAGTGGACCATCGCCTGGAGGATCAGGGACCACAGGACCATCTAGTGGAGAATCGGGCACAACAGGAACGTCTTCGGCAGGTTCACAACCCACTGCATCAGCATCCGGGGAATCAGGGACAACCTCAGCCTCAGGGCCAGCTGCAGGAACAAGTGCTGCAGGAGCTGAAGTGACAGGAACTACTGGAGGAGCACCAGGAGGATCAGGGACAACTGGTTCAGCTGCTGGCTCTCCAGGGACAGCTGGGTCGACTCGAGGAGCACCTGGAACAAGTGGACCATCGCCTGGAGGATCAGGGACCACGGGACCATCTAGTGGAGAATCGGGCACAACAGGAACGTCTTCGGCAGGTTCACAACCCACTGCATCAGCATCCGGGAAATCAGGGACAACCTCAGCCTCAGGGCCAGCTGCAGGAACAAGTGCTGCAGGAGCGGAAGTGACAGGAACCACTGGACGAGCACCTGGAGGACCAAGGACAACTGGTTCAGCTGCTGGCTCTCCAGGGACAGCTGGGTCTACTCAAACAGCACCTGGAACACGTGGTGAGTAAATAGGTGGATGTTAGATGTATTTTCATTTTGCTTTCATGCTTGGGTCTACATAAAGATGATGAAATGATTCATCAATACATCAGGTGAAAATTTCAATGGCTTTAAATATATGATTTCATTGAAGTACTTGGATAAGTATGTTTTCTCATTTCACTCATGAGGAACTTAAACCACCCTTACCTAATGTCATCCAGGTTCTACAGCCAATGCAATAATGGAACCGGTGTTTTTGTCAATTGTTTACTGACTGCAGAGCTGCGTTCCTCTGGGACGTTTTTATGCAAGGCAAATATGCAGTGATCTTGAAGACCCAGTAGTGAAATTTTACTTTTAATATGTATTAAACTAATTTTTTCCATTTCTCACTGTAATAACTGCCCCAGCAGGTAATAAAAAGAGGATTAAAACATTTAATGTGAGTTAAACTGGGGCATTTGTTTTGACAAAGAGATTTGAGGCATTGTACTTGACCAAACTATAATGCTATTGTTGTATAAATAAAATAATTAATCACTTTCTTCTTTTTACAACTACTCAAACTTGACATAAAATTGCAAACTCTTTTAGTGCATTTTTTTATCACAATACATGGACCAACTTGTTTATTCAAGTCTACAGTACGTTATTATTTAAGTTTCTGTACTAGTGGTTTCTGCACCACTGTAATGGTTGAGAAAGACATCATTCCTCAATTTGCAGGTTATCTAATAAAACCTAAGCTTTAGTGACTAAATCATTGGTGATGTAAGGAATCGATTGGTTATAAATTTTCCTGGTAAAGAGTTTCACCACTTCTATTCCAATTATTGAAAACACCACTTATGTAAATTTATTTTACAAACTAGGCACTAGAAAATAGTTAATTCAAAGATTTGATTTAGACTAAATTCATAATTATTCTTTACTCAGTCAGTGGTTATGTAAATCTCTCATCCTGACTTGAGTGTCAAATTAAACTTCGATGGAAATAACATTCTGTTTTTATATTAAAAAACCCCACTTATGTAAAATGGCAGTCGAAGCACTGAAATAAATTATTCAAATGAAAATCAAGAAGTGTGTTATTTAATTGGAACATGAATTTAATCTTTTCTGTTTTAGGATGAAATATCAAAACTTCACCAGTACTCACTGTAGTTAAGTTGAAATAAAAATGACCAAAATATATTTCTGCGCAATGCAATTGGAAATAATATTTTTATCTTTTCAATTCGTGTTGTGAAAAAAAAACTACAGACAGTGATGTTCTTCCCAATTATAATTTAATACAAATTAATTATTATGAGACAAAAGATATATATATATGTATATATATATATATACACTTCTTTTTAATATTTAGTTCCTTCAGTAGAGCCTAAATGAACAGGTAAGTATAAGATTATAAATGTACACTCTAGAAATTGTGTTACAGTAACTAGAATAGATTTATGATAGTAGAAGTTATCATTTATAAACTTGATGAAACATGACATCAAATTAGATTTTGGTAGCTTAGGGCTTTTTCTTCTTCTATTCTTATGCCTTCAGAAATCAAAACAAAGGTGTATTGAGTTCCTTACTTAATATTTAAACTCTACACCGGTTGCTTATAAGCATTCACAATCAATCAAATAAATAATAGTAACTCTAGAACTACCCTTCATTAAAGAACAAAGTACCCTGTTTCTCAGAATATTAGTTTTGTCACCTATAATTTTCACAGATATTATTATTAGCTTTTATTGCATCCTGATATCTTTTTTTAATATGGAACAGTTTTAAAAGATAAGCAAAAAATAAAGTTTGTTCTATAGGACATGGTACTTTTTAAAATTGTTTTCTGCATTCTTTTAGCATTTACATTCAAATATAAGTTCCAAGAAGGCAGGTATTTTTGTCTTCTATTGTCCACTGATATAAAACTTTTCCTGGTCCTTATGTTTCAATAATTGTCCACCTGATCAATTAGATTCATCCTCTGTTTAATGGGGCACATTCGACACACATCCCTCAGTGTGCCACTCAGGGCCTAACCAGAGAGCTGAGACATCTGAAATAAATTATTCATTTATTTCAGTTTATTCATTAATAAAAACAGGTGTTTACAACACAGGTTCAGTTGAAATGATAAGAAAACTATCACTATGGATATGGTGGAAATGCAGCTTCTGAAGACTTTCTGAGATGAACGTAACACAAAATACCTCCTCCCAAACACCCAGAACTGCCTCTTTTATTTTCTCCCTCAGAGGCCACAACTTCCACAGAAGGTGCGTGCCCCACTGTGGGTACATTCGAAGCAGTGGATACCTTGTGATAACCACTAATTATAATGCACATAGGAGAGCTGAGACAGAGAAAACATTTCTGGAGAGCAGTTCACCTGTCCTTTAGTGATGCTGCATTTTGGGTGAACTAATTCTTTTTGTTTTGAAATCTTGTCCTGCGAAGCTACTAATGACAGAGTTTGGAATTATAGCTGTAATCCTTCAACATAGCAAGATTGTGCCAATAGTTCTGAGTAAGTTATCTTTTGAGATTATAAATAGTATAAGATTTCTGGAGGAAAATGAGGATACTTTCTTTCCTAATAAAGCCAGAAGAGCTACATAAACCCTAGCAACATGTCTGCCTTATACAGATGTAGGCATTTTACAACAAAGCAAGAAAGAGCTCAATATTTTCGGATAGTCTGGTTTTCAGAGCACTCATGTGTCCCTTGTGCTTCCAACCTGTAGCAGGTACCACTGCAGCATCGGAAAGTGAAGTCACTGGAATGAAAACAGGTGAGTGTGAAAGAAACCCAACAGTTGCCCAAAAGAAAATGATGCCCAGAAGTTTGTCTCAGGTAGAAAACACAGAGCCTAGAAATTTTTGGCAACAAAATGGTTAATGAGTAAAAACATGGGGCTTATATAAAAGGAGAGGCGGATGGCGAGTCAGGAAGATGAATGCAAATATACTTAGGTCTTTTGTAGGTACATGGTTTTAAACAAGAAACATGACCTTGTGGTGACCACAGTCCCTTTTGTGTTTCAGGGTACACCTCAAGTGTAGTCTTGGGCATAACTAGTGTCCCAGGAAGTTCCCAGACAGGTGAGGCAGCAAGTTGAAAAGACTCTTCCCCATCCTCTCTCTGGGACTAGATGTCTCCTCTGGGATTTTCCATTGCAGGGGTACCACCATATCTTTTCCATGATCCTGAAATACTCTCCAATCACCTCTTTCTTCATTCTGTCCCCCCAGATACCACAGCTATCCTGGAAGAAAGCAAAACAAACAGAGTTGGAATAGTCACAGGTGAGTGATCTAAACTACTACCTGTTCTTTATAGTAATGTCAGGAAACAACAATAACACGTGCCAGGTCCTGCAGTGCACTCTTTTATGGCTGAGCATAGAGAGCCCTTACTAGACCACCATGAAGAAGAAATTACCGACACAAAAATTGTAATATGGAGAGAAAATTCTTCTCTCTTCTCCAAAGTAACAGGCAGGATGGTGAAGAAATCAAAAAGAGTTATAAAACCTTTTTACATGGGGCATGTATGGATGAAATCTTGGAACATAAAATGATAGTTTGGTGTTACATGGAGACTTTAGGTTTCTATTCGCATCAAGTTGTGAATAGGCAGTTGAATTAGTGATGACCCCCCTTTTTTGTTGTAGGCACTACTGGCATAATCCCTGAAAAAACTCTGGAACCTGGAACTTACAACACAGGTAACATGAAAAAACACATGCAAAAACTAGATTTTGGCATGTTAGATAATATATTATAAGAACACAGAGTGTGAATTTCCTACACCCCAGACTTCAGTCTTCCCTTCTTTTTTTCTATCAGGGGCCACAACTTCAATGGTTGGAAAGGGGACAAGTCAAGCAGGACTTACAGGGGGTGAGCTGTTTATGTCTGAGTCTTCTTCATCTTCTCTTCTTCCAGTACAATCTCTGTTAGTGTGGTCATGGTGAACACCTGAATGGGAAGGCAGGCTGATGACATGTGCCTGCCTTTCTTCTGGGAACACTATATGCGAAGTCAGAAAACCAGCTCAGCCCAGGGATTCTCTGGCCTCACAAAACCCTGTCATTATTTTCAGAGGCCCAAGCTTGTGAAGCAAGCTGTTGGATGGGAGGGATGAGGCCCAGCTGCAAGCAAGCCTTTGCCAAGGCCCCCTTGTTATATATGATTTTCCACAGCACTCATTAACAGATATCAAACTGACTTATCTGTCATATTTATTATTCATTGCTGGTCTCCAGCTGCCAGAATGGAGTCACATAGGGGAGAAATATTTGCATGTTCTGGTCAGTGACATACGCAAAGGCCTAAATAATGTTGCTTAATAAATTTTAGTGGAATGAACAAATGTGTGCTACTGTTGAAGGTTCACTGTCCTTGTGTTAACAGGTAGCACCACGCTTTTGCCTGGAGCCAGTGGCAGCTCACAGAGTTCCAAGCCAGATAGGATACCTGGAGTGCCAGGTCCATGTATTCAGAACACAGTGCACAGCCTCGTCTAAGCACCTAGTTTCATGCAATGCAGCCAAGTACAATATTTTACAAAATAGAGATAGTTGACTTATGAGTAAGAAGAGATGTAGGTATTCTTTATGCGTAATTAATCTGTAGAGTATTTTTACACAGCTTGGTTCCACAGTGTTGGTCACATTCTCACACTTATACAAATGCTTTACCTGGGGTGTCGATAGCGCCAGTGCACTTGGTATTAGCATGTGTTTGTTTTTCCTTTGCCTTCCTCAGGAACCACTGGAGCATCAGCAGGTACAACCTCAGGAGCCAAAACCAAAACTACAGGTGACACGATCTTCAGAGATGGTGAGAGAAAGAAATGAGTCAAATGCTATTTCTCCCGTAGCTTCTTCTCACAGGTCATCCTCTGTGCTACTCAGAACCATTGCACCCTGGGTACAGCATCAGATACTGGGGGGACCAAGGTCTGCATCATGTCACCTGGCCATTTTAGGAAAGCATTCAATAATTCATCTTTATTTATCAGTAAAATATTAATGACATATCACTCTGGTATGCCAACATTTCTGAACTATGTTCATATATATAATGTACTATAATACACACAAAGCCATGCAGTAGTCTACTTACTGAAATTAAAAAGGAAATAATAAAGGTTCTTAAAGCTGACAGAAGCAGGATTAGAACTCAGAATCTTTAGCCTTCTTGCAATCATTCCACCACTTCCTGGGCTATGCTTAAGAGCATTTATTTTGTTTTGTTTGAGTGATTATCCAGACAAAACAAAACAAAAAACAAATAAGGAAAAAACAAGAGAAAGCCAAAGCAATATGAGTATATGCTTGGCCATGTGCATCACTGGCTAAATTTCAAGGATTGTATCATGAATAAAACATTACTGTTATTCCTTAAACACAGATAATTTTGATTAAAACAAACCTGACTGAGTTCCATCTTACCCCTTATGAAGTAGTTAATGTAAAGCACCTCTTCCATTTTCTCATCTGCATCACATTGGTTCTGCTTGTGCTCACCTGTTAAACATTTTCCTCTGGGCTTGGCAGTGGTCCACAGACTCCCCTTCCCTTCACACAGTGGTGATCAAAGTGTGCTTCCCAATGCAACAGCATCTACTTGTTCTGCAAACATTTTAGAAATGTGACTGGTGAGGTAACCTACAAGCCAGGTAGGTTATGAGAGGATGCAAAGTTCCACCTTCAACATCGGAATATCCAAATGTCCCAAGTGGTGGATAAATGACATTGAGAATGATAAAGTCATAATCTGCCTCTTCTCTCTTTTAGGCACCTCTGCTGCCCCAGGGAGTCCAGGGACAGGAAGTGAAACAGGTGAGGGTTGCACAAGGTCTCCTTTCACTTTCAGCGGCAGGGGACAGGGGTTGGCAGGGAAAACTCCAGTAACAACAATGAGGAAAGTGTGAGTCAGGGAAGGAAAGTGTGCAAAGGAAATGACGGTTGGTTTCTTATAGAAAGAGAGGCCCCAGGAATTATTTGTGTTTGCTCAACGCTATATGGTTACTTCAGTTTGAAAGGGGAGAGCATGCTGTGCTGATACCTTCATTTTTCTCATTGACAGGTGCCCCAGGGGAATACCCCAGGACAACCATTATACCTGGCAGTTCCCACACTGGTAGGTGAACAAGATGGAATCTCAATACTTTCACTGGGAGTATCGTTAGTAGGCCTGCTGTGATACCAGGTGAACGTCATTCTTTCCTTGATCTTCTATCCTCCCACCTCACCACTCACTCTGTTCTGCCTTCAGAGGCCACAACGTCCACAGAAGGCAGCGGCACTTCTGGCAGTGGATCCAGACCTGGTGAGAAAGAGTTTCTGCAGTTTGGGTGGGGTTCACCATTCATGATGGGTCTTCTTTGCCTTGGCTGCTGGTGTGTGTGCTTTGCAGCAGAGTGGTCTGCACTTGTGCCCAGGTTTTCCCAGATTTCCCAGACTTTGGGAGACTCTCAGTACTGGCCTCCAGTCTCATAGCTGCTACTTTGTAAAGAGGGGCTACTGGTGAAAGCAGTATGAGAGCTCCCCCCTGTGATGGCATACACATCACTAAGATGCCATAGGCAGATCAGACATATTGTGTCTCTGGGAAATGAGGAAAGCAATGTGAACTTGTAAACAGGCATATCCTCTGCAAAGATTTTCTTGTTCATAAGGGCAGTGATGATCGCAATATTTTTTTGGGACACTGATTTCATTTTTTGCATTTCCCTGGTGTCATTTCCTTGTGAGTGTAAGTGGTGAATATAGGCTAAAGCCATGTGTTTAACCATATTTGGAAAAGTGGGTTTCCTGGGACTGTTGGTCATGTTGAGAATATTACAGGTTTTGGAGATTTTCTACTTGCATTGGTCATACAAAGGCGATTCTCAGTTCATTAGGAAGCAGAGACAGGGCCCTTCATTAAAAGAAAGATACAGGTAGAGTGCTTTTGGAGTGCAGATTTCAGGAGATAAACAAGAAACCCATGGAAGATGTCAGACCCTTTGTGTTTCAGGTATCACTGCAATAGCCTCTGGCGCTACTGTTAGTCTTTGGACCTCTAACTTCAGTCAGTGAACCAATTCATGTAGACTTTCATGTCCTCTTACAAATTACATGTCCTCTTTCGTATTATTCATTGCACGCATACCCTATGTGGTTTTTATGATCTTTTTTTTTCTCTCTTAGGCACTTCCATCACTGCAGGGAGTCCAGGGTCAGGTAGCAAAACAGGTGAGGGTGACATGAATTCTATTTTCTCTTTCACTGGGATATATAGGAAAGGAATCTCCAATTGCCACTATAAGGAAGAGTTTGTCAGGAAAGGGCATTGAGGAAGGTCATGGACAGTTCAATTTCTTCCGAGACAGAGATCCGAAGGAAACATCTTGCAGCTAGATCAGTAATGAAGAGGGAGCTAATGCTGTGCTGATATCCTTATCTTTCTCATTTTTGGTGCCACATGAAGATTCTCTAGAGCAACCAATATCCCTGGGATTTCCCACACAGGTAGAATAACAAAAAGAAGTCTGCATATTTAATGACATAATATAATTAGTATTCTTGTTCTGACCAAATAGGAACGTACTCTTTTCTCTAATATCCTAAATCCTCTGCTCTCACCATTCCCCGTGTTCTGCCTTCAGAGAGCACAGCGGTAACAGTAGGCAGTGGCAGGTACAGCAGAGGAGCCAGGCCTGGTGAGAGTGCTCACCTCACAGTGGGGGTTTGCCATTAGTTAGGCTCTTCACAAGCTCCCATTTGCAGGTTTACTTTCCTGCAGAATTGTTGCATTTACCCAGTATTTCCTTTGATTTAACATATTATCAATAACTTTCAATGTCTGCTCAAGCTTCACAGCGGTAGCTTTCTCAGGAAGAGCAGTTGATGAAATTCCTAGGGGAGGGTTCCTCCTTGATGGCATATGCATTGCCAAGCTGTCAGAGGAACTGGGGCATATTAGATACCTGGGCAGAAGAGAAAGCGATATGAAGTCTTAAACATGCCTGTTACATATAGGTTCCCTTTCTTAAAAGAGCAGTAATGGTCGTCGATATTTTTGGCACATTTAAATAGTGTTCTGGTTTCCCTCCCCCACACAGTAGGTACCACTGCAGCACCACAAGGCCAAGTAACTGGGAGTGTCATGGGTGAACCTGGGAGAAACCCACCTTTCTTCTTCATTTTAAGTGAATGGAATATCTGTGGAGGGTGTCTTACATTGGGAATGTTACTATCGATATTTTTACTACTTTCTTAGTGATATGGGTCAGAGGAAAGCCTATGATTTTCACCTCATCAGGAGGCAGTGAAAGGGCCCTTAGATATAACATAGATGCACTTAGGGTCCTTTTAGAGGCAGGACTTTAACATATAAGCATCACTGTGAAGATGTCTACCCACTGTGTTTCAGGCACCACGGGGCTGGCCCTCGGCACAACTGTTGCCCCTGGCAGTTCCAACACAGGTGAGTCAACCAGGTAGCAGGGACTCTGATGGGTCAGTCTTGATGAGATTCCTCTTCAAGTGTTTTCCTGTGTAAGAGAACTGCCCTACTTTTCTGTGGTCCTTAAATAATTTTCAACTACCTGTATTCTACTTTCTTCTCTTTTAGGGGCCACGACTTCTGTAGAACATGACAGAATAACAAGTGTCGGAATAATTACAGGTGAGCTCTGTTAAGGCACTAATTGTACACTCTAATAACTCACCAATTAAAATTTTTGTCTGAAATACATCGAAACTCTTTGAGTTTCTCATATTCTAAATATGGGGCACAAATTTAGCAGATGGTCAATATTTGACATAAAGAAATTCAGCTCAGATAATTCAACATTTCATCCTTGTTCTGTGCTCTAAGACATCCTGGGACCTATTCCCCGACAGTTATATAGGTAATTTGCATGCAAATCTACTTCACTATAACTTAACCTTAAAAGAGAGATCCAGTGGTAGTAGACTGTCTTTGCAAATTTGTGGAAGGAAAGAAGTGTTTCATGGACTATCTACAGCTGGACTCAAAACTAGGAAATCCAGAGAAATAATCTTACTTTGGGAGAAACAAAGTTTTTATTGTTGTTGTTTTTAATAGCTCATGCCCATTTTTTTTATTGGCAATGAACTGACCTAGTGACCCAAATCCTTCTTATTTCAGGTACAACGGAGGACATCTCTGGCAAAACACCCAATCCTGGAAGTTCCAACACAGGTCTGAAGTTCTGAGTGTGTCCCCTCAAGAGACCCAGCCCATCGAAGCCCAGTTTGTCCTGTCTACATCTCCAGTCCTTACTCCTCTTTGTTTTCTTCTCTTAGAAGCCACGACTCACACAGAAGGCAGTGGGACAACCCAAGGAACAGTGCCAGGAGGTAAGCTTTTTAGGACAAAACCTAGGACTCTCATTGTTTGTCTATTTGTCTTGCTGCAGTAATCAAATGAGTGGGGAGGAGTGTGAAGGAGGGACCTGCAGTTTCTCTGAGGCTATATTGTATGATGTCAACCTGATAATTATTCTGCTTGGGGATTCCAAGTCCTCAGGTGTCTCAGCCAGATTGTCCTCAGTAGTCTGGCTTGCAAATATGTTCTCTTCCCTGCCCCCGATGGGTGTAAGTGCACATTGCCTGTATCTCATCCCCTCAGTACTTCCAGTCCTCCTTACCCAGCTTACCTTCCCCACTCCCTCCCCAGTAAGTAAATTTCTCTCATTTACTTCTACACAATGTTTATTGTTTCTTTTTATCTCCCCTTACTAGAAAGCTTCATGAAGGCAACTGATTATTAAAATGCTCTAGGTTGTAACAAACATTATTACTTATAAAGACTAAAGATGCTTCATTTCCTCTCTTAGGCACCTCTGGCACACCAGGTAGATCTGTCTCCGGAGCTGAAGTAGGTAAGGGATAAAGACCTGCTCCCCTTTTACTGCATAGTGAAAGGGGAACCTGGGAAATAAAATGCTGTGAACTTTATTTTCCATTTTCTTTAGAGAAGAATGTCTTCAGGGAAGGGCTCCCAGTGTTTTAGGGTCACACCAGTGCTGCCAAAATGAACTAGGGAGGAAGTGCTCTATTGTTCCATTCACTTTTTGCGTTTTAGGTACCACTGAAGAGTTTTCTGGGACAACAATTACGTCCGGAGGTTTTAACACAGGTAGGTTAACAAGAAGGAAATCCCCCCTTACTTAACTTCAGATGTCATGATCTCTCTTTTAAGTCTGCTATAGTAAAATACTAACCTGACATCTCTTCCCAGTAGTCCCAATTACCAGACTTTACCATCTTGTTGCAGGCACCACTACAGTAGCTTCTCGCACTGCACTTGAACCCGGGAGTTCAAACACAGGTGAGCCAGCTAGCTGGAGAGAATCTTCCGTGGTGCTTCCATTAAGAAGAGTACACCCTTAACTTTCCTCAGAATGTTAAATGGCCTTCAGCTCACATTTTTCCACCTTTCCTCTCTCTTAGAAGCAACATCGCCCTCTAGAGGCAGTGGAACCACAGGAATCAGTACTAGTGAGTTGGTGGATTTCTTTACCTCTCTGCTTTCTGATGATAACTAAATAACTAAATCTTTAGAGTGCTGTTTTACATACAGCCTTCTCATTATTATTTCTTTTATCCCTCACTCCAAACTATGAGGTAAGTACTATTTCTTTTTTACAGATGAGTAAATCTGTGGCTCAGAGATATTAATTAACTTTCCCAACGTGACACAGCAAATAAACAGCAGATTTCAACTCAGGCAATCTGGCTCCAAAGTCCATCCTCTTAATCATGATACTATGCTAACATTATACAATATCACTGGATTTCTTTATTGCATGTCTAAACTTTTCTAGAACATTAAAATTTCTACAGCATCAATATGTTATCCAAATAAAAAATTCAACAGACAGTCAATCCTGCTTTATTTCTTTTTCTAGGGGAATCTAGTAGCCTAGTCACTGGCATTCAAACAGGTAAAAAAAAAAAAAAAAAAGAAAAATGCCTTTCTATCCAGCATTGACCCCAGAGAAAAGAATGTTATCTTTGTGAGTCCCCACAGCGCCCCGCCCGCACATTGCCTGACAAATTTATATTCAGAATGAACCATTACATTAGGAAATGCATAAAACAATTCTGGAACAAGCTATTCCTGAAAATGATCTCTTTACATAATAAAAAGTTCTGTAGTTTCCTTGTCCTATTCTAGAATATACTCTTATTATAGGAATGAAAGTACATAATGTTGCCTTTCAATTTTGCTTTCAGGCTCTACTGGAGCGGCCCCTGGCGGGACCACCTCACCGGGAAGTTCCAACACAGGTAAATCAGTGAGGAAACTGGTGCTACAATTTCTGTCTTAGGGCTAGCTCTGAAGCAATAGCATATGGTATCTCTTTGTAAAATTTAAATTTGTATTGTGTTTCCCATTATCTTTTAGGCCCCTTATATCCCCATCCCCTCCACAATCACCACACTGATGTCCAAGTCCAGCAGCCCTTTTTCCTTTGTGCTCAATCCCCCACCTCCCCCATCATAGCTATCATCTTGTTCTCTATCTATGAGTATTTGCAGATGATATGATACTGTACATAGGGAACCCCAAATATACCACCAAGAAACTGCTAGAACTGATAAATCAATGCAGAGAAGTAGCAGGATACTAAGATAATATTCAGAAATCAATTGCATATTAATACGCAACTAACAGAAAGGGAACTAAAAGGAAGGGAAATTAAGAAAATAATCCCATTTACAATGCCTCAAAAATATTTAATAATAAATCTAACCAAGGATGTAAAAGACCTCTACTCAGAAAATTATGAGACACTGAAGAAAGAAATTGAAAAAGATACAAATAAGTGGAAGCACACACCATGTTCACGGAGAGGAAGAACTGACCTCATTAAAATATCCGTACTACCCAAAGCAATCTATAGATTCAACATAATTCCTATCAGGTTTCCAATGTCATATTTCACAGAACTAGAATAAATATTTCATAAAATTAAGTTAAATGTGTTAACAATAATCTAATATCCTCCCATAATTTTGTGATAGGTTATATAGTCTTTTTTTCCTTTTTAAGTTTTATTAAATTTATTGGGGTGACATTGGTTAATAAAATTGCACAGATTTCAGTTGCACAATTCTATAATGCATCGTCTGCCTTGTACTGTGTGTTCACCACCCAAAGTTAAGTCTCCTTCCATCACCATGTATCTCCCCATATGTCCTTTTCTACTGCCCCCCCTCCATCCCCCTTTCCCACTCTTAATCGCCGTGCCATTGCCTGTGTCCCTGAGGTCCCACCAGCTTCGTTCCTTCCCCTTTTCTCCCAGCCCAGTAAACTCCATTCCTTCTAACGGCTGTCAGTCTGTTCTGTGTGTATCTATGAGTCTGTTTCTATTTTGTTTATTAGCTGATTTTGCTCATTAGATTCTGCATATAAGTGTATCCTTGATGATTACTTTTTAAAGGAGTGACTCCCAGGTCTTTGAAAAAAATATCCTGGGTTATAAAGCTGGCCAGAGGCAGGAAGACGATTTACATCGCAAAGAGGGAGAGGAATGGTGGGAAAGACACAGGCAGGGGGGCCAGGAAGTGATGCTAAATTTCGTTTTGGAAGATGACTTTGAAGTTCAAACAGGGTTTTTTTTCCCCTAGGCCTTTTTAGTTTTTTGGTTAGGCTTTCACCAGAACTTCTTTCCTGGCAACTTAGTAATAAAACTCCTAGTTGGAAATCTCTGAGTGTGAGACTATGAAATTCTATTCCTGAATTTTTTAATATTTCATTCTGAAGGCTTCTCCTCAGTGTCAAATGGAATAAAAATAATCCCCAAAGTGAATGGACTGGAATGAATTGTCTAATCCACACAAAGCTTTCCTTGAGGATGAATTTGTGTGGCTGTCGGCACACTCACACACGCAGAAACTCGATTGCATGTGTCATTCTAATGAATAAAATGACAACACCCTCCTTTCATTGCCCCTGAGAAACCACTGTGGTAACAACAGGAAATCAAGAAACTGAAAATAAAATAAGTCAGTATGGGGAAAATCTTAATTTTTTTGTTACCTATTCAACTAACATTTCTTTGATACTTTGTATGTGTTCGACTCTGTAGCAGACACTAATAGCCAAGAACATCAATAAAACACAGTCCTTGTCATTTTATTACTTTGTGTGTGGGGGGCTGTGGATTATTATGGGCACTGAAACTGTCTTCACAGTGTGTTTAACATTAACCTATAAACATGTGCAGCAGTTATGGTCTCAAGGGTGTAGTGAGTGGAGAATATTAATTTCCCCCATTAGTTGGTATTATTGAGTGAAGGGAACAGAAAGGACGTGATTGAGTTTAATGAGGGCTGTGGTGAGAAGGGAATTCTCCTAAACGGCCCTTGAAAAGAGAGACACGAGACAGCATGAGTGAATTCAGGAATCAACCAGATAGTGACTCCATGAGGTTCAGGGAAGAAATGAGATTGGAAAGGTAAGTAGAAGAAGGTTCACGAACCTCATTGCCAAACTCAAACAATACTTTAATCCTTACACCAAATGGGATCCCTGTAAGAATTCTATCAAGAAAATAATATGATCAGATAGGTGTTGGGGAGAAATTATTCTGATAACAAGGTGAAGATTAGGAAATTGTTCCTTTTAAAAAAAGATATTATTCATTTTATTGTTAGACAGGGAGGAAGGGAAGGAGAAAGAGAGGGAGAGAAACCGCTAATGTGTGGTTGCCTCTCACGCGCCCCCTACTGGGGGCCTGGCCAACAACCCAGGCCTGTATCCTGACTGGGAATCAAACTGGTGACCTTTTGGGTCTCAGGCCTGTGCTCTATCCACTAAGCCATGCCAGCCAGGGCAGGAGATTGTCCTTTATGATTCCTCTTACAAATATCTTCAATGAATTCTTGGAATTCTGGTTCAGGGAAGATTTTCCTACTATATTAATGCCTAATAGATGATTTCTCTCTCCTACTGCTGGTTTCTGCTAATCTGCTGAACTTTCTTAATTGGGGAATAGCCTAGCCTCCCTCAGTAAAGAGAGATGCTTGATCCTGCCAACTCCCGCATCTTTAATTCCCTTTCTGTTTTTCTGTACTTGTTATTTGTGGGCATCTCTCTACCTAAAATGCAGAAATTTATGTTCTTTTCAAATATTCTGTTGCTTCTAGGCCAGAGTATTTACATGGTATGTAGAATAAAAGTATTGATCTGATTTTTAGCTGCTTGAAAACAGAATTTGAAATTTATCAGTAAATTATTGGTTTGACCAAAATATGTGAGGTGTAAAGCTTCAAAAAGAAACATGTGACCTGTTTAAAGCATTTGATGGGGGTGGAGATAGAGCCAGATTGAAATAGTTCCAGAAGACTAAAAGATATAGGTTCTTAGTGGGTTAAGTAAGTAGGTAACTAAAAATACTTATACGTGTCCTGTATATGACTTATTCTTTTCCTGTTTTGATTATATATTTTCTTGTCCTCTTCATCAGAACTGTCTTCCAAGGAAATCTCCAAGTTAGAGAAGTTTACCTTGATGCTTTCTCATTTCTCCTTCAGGTTCACGTATATCCCACCCCTTAAAATTTGTGATCCAGAGAGAACACTCACTAGTCACGGAATTTCAAATGCCACAAGGACCAGAAAGAAAAGATAGATCGGAATATGTGTGTTTTTTAAGACTAGCAATGTAGCTAGTTATTTTCAGTAATGAGGTAGCAATGTTTACCTGAAAACTATTCTAGTAACTTCAGGGACTAATATGAGCTGTCTGTTTTACACAGGATGTCCAGCACCACTTCCACCGCCTCCAGGTAAGAACACCTGCATTGAAAACCCGTCATTCTGCATCAGTGATGCTTATAAATCAGTTTCAGAGGTCATGCTAGTAAAAGTCACCACGAAAATGTTATAGAACAGAAAAAACTTAAAGTAGATGAATTTTGTTTTTACTCACCAAATAGTGAAGAGTAGTCTGTTTTCTTCCACGCAAACTGATGAAGCCAAACCAAATAAATGTTATCAGTCAAAATAGTGTACCAACTAAATAAAGTGTTTTATGTAATTATATATCTTGATCAAAGTATTATCACTCATGAGCATCTTTTTGAATTAGATAATTTCAACTATTCTGAGAGGTAAATTGTAGTGAGAAAAATTAAACTTAAACAAAACTCAATAATTTTAGAGGGTTTTGAGTTCCTACTGTTCTCAAGCCAAAGTGATAAGCTTTGTAGAAAGTGGCAAAAATTACCCCCAAATGTCTTCTTTGACCATAGAATATAGTGGGAGATGGGAGGTTCTCAAAGAAACATGGACAATTTTTATATAAAGCTGAGAATAAATTTCACAGTAAGAAATGTGAAATACATCATGGAATTGTAATTTGAGAACAATATACAGACTAGTCCAGGGTATATAAATGAAGAAAGAAGTAAGACAAGGTTGAGAAGGTAGATTGGGGCCACATTAGGGCAGACTTGAGAAGATAGAATGCTAAAATAAATAATATTTTATAAAACTATTAAAGGGATGTTAGAAGTTTTTAATCAAAGAAATGATGAGATGAAAATTAGGTTTTGGGAGAGTTATCCTAACTACAGTATAGAGAGTTGACTGGATCAGGAAGAGATCTGAACGAGGGTAACCCATGAAAAAGCCAGCGTATGCTCCATCATTAATAATAAGAGCCTAGATTATTATATAACAAATAGAACTGGGAAAGGAAGGCATTCAAGTGAGTATGAAGATACAGGACTGCGATAGATTAGATATCAAGTGATAGAAAGGAAGGAATCAAGATGACTCCTAAATTTTAAGCTTAAATGATTGAAAGGATAGTTTGATTCTTACCAGGAAAAAGCCAGTTTAGATGAGAAACTGATTTTAGAGGCAAGCGGATGAAATATTTTTTTTTTTTGCACATTGAATTTGATGTTTTTACAAACTGCCCAGCATGCTGCTTATTGGGCTGAGTGAGGTCAGGGTCTGCCTCCCTCGAGATGTTTGGACTGGAGCCAGAAGTTTGACAGCTGTCTACTCAATAATCACAGTGGACACTTGACATTGTGGTGAGAGGAAGTACCAGAGGAATGACTAGAGACAAAATGAAAAGAAGGAGGAAGAGCTGAAAAGAGAGGAGAATTTCAGTGTTGAATCCGAAGGAAGAACATTTTCAAGCTGAGAGTTACAAGTGTCAGCTATTCTAGGGATCTTGAAAAACTGAGAAGGCCCTTGAGACTGGTCATTATAAAGTCTTGGTGACTTGTAGGATTATGGAAGCAGAGGTCAGATTGTAAGATAGTAGCCATAAGATTTATGGACTACTGCCTAGAGAAATTAAGAATTCTCCTTTAGAGGGGCTTATAAAACCAGGAAATATATGAGAGCTTACTAGAGAAAGTTTGAGCAAAGTGGATGGATATGATTTTTCTACCTTAAGCATCATACAGTTCTCCATAATTCTGTCTCTCTGAAATCCTAATGTTAATTACAGTATTGTCCACCTGGTGGTTATCTACAAATAACAGATGGTTATATTTTGCCAAATTTAATCAGCATTTATCATTTCATGTTAACAGTTTGCCATGGCCCACTGGGAGAAGAGAAATCTGTATGTACATAATTTTTCTCTGCCTTAATTCAAATTGGCCGTCACTCCTGTATTTGACTAGAAGTCTAACCTTGGTTTGTTTCTGAAGCCTGGAGACATCTGGACTGCTAATTGCCACAAATGCACCTGTACTAATGCAAATGCTGTAGAGTGTAAGCCTAAGGAGTGCCCTTCTCCACCGACATGCAAGACTGCAGAGAGGCTGGTAAAGTTCCAAGATAATGACACCTGCTGTGAAATCGGATACTGCGGTGTGTATTCAGAATACGTTATTTGAATTGAATCGTTGTTTCCTCACTCATACATTCCAAAGATATTTATAGAAATACTAATGTGTCAAACACTATGCTAGATAGAGGTGATAAATAAAAGAGAATCAGTACTTGCCCTCTTAAAATTTACTGTCTTTGGTGTGGGGAAACCAAAGTGAACAGTTATGAATATAATCAGTAGATTAAAGGGGTATGATGGTGTCATGGGAAAAACATTGTAATTGGCTGATATATACATTGTCATTGGCTGATATGCACAATGCAATTTCTGTCTTATAAATAAAAAAGCATTATAATGTTTATTTTAGTATAAAATAATGTATTTGTTTTTCAGAACCAAGAACATGTTTATTTAACAATACCAACTATGAGGTAAAGATTGTTCCACTTTCTCTATTTGTATTAATATGATTATGAATAAATGCAGGCCCTTTCAGTTCATGACATGAAATTTTCATAAGTAATGGTGAGGCAGAATTCATTTTTTCCGATATTCAATTTCAAAAGAAATGTCAAATGTTGCACTCAGCATGGCTCGCTTCAAAGGGAGAAAATATACTTGATCATTAACCACCCAGCAATGGAGCTTCTGAATCATATTCCCCATGGGTCTCACCAGATGGAGAAGACACACTTTGTAACATTCAAATCAATGAACAGAGTTAAACTGTAATTATAGCCAGAAAGATCAGATGGTCAAACTGTCAGAGATCAAATAAGAAAACCCCAAAGACTGGAATCTCATTACGTGAATGTAGCAATACTGTATATTCAAGGGTGGGTTTTGACAACTGAGTTGGCCTTCTGGAAAGTAATTTAGCTTTTTAGAAAAACTATCAGGAAGCCACAAAAACCAATTGATTCTCAAACTGATTTTGATACATTGAAATCGGTGGTACTAAACATTAAAACATCTGAAATAAAGCACTCATGTGTGTGGTATGTTAGGGAAGATGTAAAAACAGAGTCAGAGAGTTTTTTTTAATTTGGTAACTCATTTATCACACCCAATTTTTAGTTTTGTAAAAAAAATGTTAGTGTCCAAAGGTGACCTGACTTGAGAATTTATGACAGTTTTTCAACATTAAAATATTATGATGTTTAGTGAACAAAGAAAATCTTGTACCTCTAATCATTTATATGGAAAATGATTGAAATAAAATTCTAATTGACCAGAAAGTTTATTTTGTGGTTTGAGGCTCTAAAAGAAATGCAATTTTCAAAACAGATGTTTGAATTTTGAGCATAAATAAATTATAAAGCAATCTAGAGAACTTTAAATGTATGGAAACACAAACAAAGACAGAAGTACAATGTGACTTGTTATTTTTGATAAGCCTACCTTATGCCATTTTTTCCCATTTGAATTTCTTATTTGTTTTTTCTTAAACTTATAACAACTGGTCAATTCACAGCTCCAAATAAAATAGCCTTTCTTCAAAATACTTAAAAAGTATAATAGAGTAGTAGTATGTGAATTTTAATTTGAAAATCTTGACTTGTTCTCTGCTTTCAATAAGAAAGTTGGATTTATACTTGGGAAATGGAAGGCTTTCAATCTACTCCTTCTTAAATATTAACCTAGTGGCTGAAAGTGCCCCTGGAAATTCACCGAGCATCATGAATTTGAATTTTTAACAGGTTTTATTATCATCTTCAAATAGAAATGAAGATGAATAATTCCCTTGTTCTCTCCCCCTCCCTACCTCCCAGATTGGCGCTTCATTTGAGGACCCTAAGAACCCCTGTGTCTCCTACTCCTGCAATGAGACTGGTTTGGTCATAGCGGTTCAAGACTGTCCAAAGCAGACCTGGTGTGCAAAGGTAAATTATCTTCTCAAGTAATCAACAGCAAGATTCACTTCTCATATTCAATGTAAGCACAACCTGTCTTCTTCCTTATTTGGTAAAGTTTCTACATGGCCACTAGACCTCTGATAGATTTCATTCCTGATATCTCATCTACCTTTTATTATCAAGTGTATTTTTCATATCAAGGATACATTTTTGGGCTGTATAAAACTTAATATAGTGCTATTCTAGAAGAAATAAATTACTGTAGAAAGCATATTGCTATTTTTAACAAAAACCCTAGTTTGTTTTCAAGGCTTATGGGGTTAGGTTAATAATTTTCTATAAAGGTACAAAATTTTCATGGAATTCCACGTATGTGTACTATTCAGATTGTTCTTTGTGCTACAGTCTTCATTTTTGTTCCCCAACATGTGGTGAAGGCTTTGTATTAATGAATGCTTAAATTTAAGTTATTAAGGAAGGTTTAAGCTCAACTTATTTTTCTTTCTGAAGATATAATTGATAATATGTTTTACAGTTTTATTTTAGTACTCCAGTGTTGGATTTAAACATTTTTCACGTTTTTACTCTGATACATTAATTAGTTTAAGAGTGCAATAATATGTTAGGTAAAAATGCCTGCCTGTCAGACACTTACAGTGTCCAGTGGTGATGTCATTATTAAAGTATTTTTCAATTAAAATGAGTAATATTTTTTATTTCTTTGCATTTTATTTTAGAAAAAAATTGGTTGAAATATTGTTTTTCCCTTTTGATCCATTGTTGCAAAAGTTAGTGTAAATACTCGGTCTCATTTTTATTGCTACTCCCTCCCATTCGTGCTTACTTATTTTTTTGCATTTAAAAAAATTTTTAGTTGTTGTTCAAGTACAGTTTCCTGCCTTTTACCCCCATCCCGGCCCAACCCCCAGGCCTCCCCACCTCCCTCCTGTTTCCAGGCCTCCCTTGTCTTTGTCCATGTGTCCTTTAACCTTGTTCCCCCAAACCCTTCCCCTTTGCCCCTGAAATTCCCTCCCCTCTCTCCTCTGGTCACTGTTAGCCTGTTCTCTATTTCAGTGTCTTTGGTTATATTTTGCTTGTTTGTTTTGTTGATTAGATTCCTGTTAAAGGTAAGATCATATGGTGTTTTTCTTTCACTGCCTAGCTTATTTCACTCAGCATAATGCTTTCCAGTTCCATCCATGCTGTTGCAAAGGGTAGGAGCTCCTTCTTTCTTTCTGCTGCGTAGAATTCCATTGTGTAAATGTACCATAGTTGTTTGATCCATTCATTTACTGATGGGCCCATTCGTGCTTACTGATCTGAGATCATCATGTTCATCTGTCCCATCTGCCCCCTGTGTGATACTGTTTCAGTAAGTTAAGAAATGTTATATTATTTATAGAAAAATACAAAAGATTTTTAGTCTTTTTGCTTTCTCTCCCACCCATATAGGTAGACCGAGTCTATGATTCAAAAAAATGTTGCTATACATGTAAGTAAAATTAAGCTCCACATGTAAAGAAATGTAAACTGTTGAAAAAATGGCTTCTTTAAAACAAAACAGCAGATTATTAAAAGAAGGTATCCTGTGTTAATAACACTTCAAGTATTCTAATCTATTTAATATATCCATAAACTAACAATGGATATTTGCACCTAATGTGCTATATACTGATTTATGTTGGTTGCAACATTCCCCCTAGTAAAAGACCAGTGATGTTTACAAGAAGGAATATATTGTGAAATAGCTATTACTATTCTCTAGTTGAATTAAGGAAACTGAGGTTTAGCCATTGTTCATATTAAACACTTCTGACTCTCTGATCTGCTTTGTTTTAGGTAATACTAACTGCAGGACTTCACTCGTGAATGTCACTGTCACGTACAACAGGTGCACGAAAAGACTTGAGATGGCGAGATGTGTAGGGGAATGCAAAAGGACCACCAGGTGAGTTTTTGAGTGTATACTGTGGGTTAATTTTGTAACACTGTGGGGGCAATAAAGCTTTCAAAACATTACATGGAAAAAATTTTATACAACAGCGAATGATCAGGACATTAATATGTAAAATATTAAGATCTGAAATATAAACGTTTTCAAAAGCAATGATTCATTTTGAAGTAGCTTTCTATATATATCAGACATAATACATTTAGGCAAATGTATTTTCATACAGTGAATACAGAGTACTTAAGCAAATACTCTTGCTAAAAGTGCATTTTTAAATTGTCACATGCACTTTAGATATAACATTTTACTTTTTTCCCTCTATGTACACTTTTACATATTAATTAATGGGTGGAGAATAACAATTTGGTTTTAGTTGTATATTTAAACATCTGTTTTCTGTATCATAATGCTCTAATTATGACATTATAAATTTCCATTTTGAATTTTTTTTCTTTTTCTTTTGACTTTACCTATCGCATCAGAAAAATGTAATACAGGTATAGGTAAAAGTAAATTGGTTGGGAGGCTTGGTCAATCACTTAGACGATTTAGCAGTTGAGCATCGATGTCAATTGAGTTCAAAATACATTCCAAAAATATTTATTTTTGATTTTTTTAGGTACGATTATGATATCTTCCAGTTGAAAAATTCCTGCCTTTGCTGCCAAGATGAAGCATATGAGTTGAGAGAAATTGTTCTTGACTGCCTGGATGGCAGTACGTTACCTTACATATACAGGCACATCACGAAGTGTTCTTGCTTAGACAAGTGCTATACCTCAACGTCTTCATCTATGTCCTGAGAGCCCACTTACTGTTAACATTGCCTTTCTGGTTGTAACTTGCAGGCATTTACTTTATAAGTGAACAAAACTAATCACCCACTTGTGAGAATAACTAAAGATCTGTATCTCAATCAAAAGGTGAATTCTCATTCTAATGCATTTTTTTGTTGTTGTTGTTGACCCAGTCTGGAAAAATAAATACAATTTTGCAAGCAGTTAGTGAGTACATGTATTTATTTTATAGCAATAAGAATTCTGCAAGTCAAGGAGAAGTGGAGTGTGGTATCATGGCTCTCCAGTATACCCATATTCTACTCAGTTGCCTAGTGAGGCCATTCTCCCATTATGTTCCTTCCCTTCACAGTTAAACTTACTGAAAACAGAGTCTTTGTTCTCTTCTCTTACGTCTTTATGTTAGTTACATCAGCCCTTTCATTCTACAACAAGTCTCTCTGCTTAGGACATCAGCGGCCTCGTTATAATTTTTTCTATAGGGTCTGGTAACATTTCCACTCTTTCTTTCTTGAATCGTTTTTCTTGCTGTTTCTGTTACATCATTTTTGATTAATTCTCCTACCTTTTGTGGACAGCTTCCCTTTTGTCAGCCCTTAAACTTTAATTTCTTCAAAGGTGCATCCTGTTCCTCTTCTCACTTTACTCATGTTTCTTAGATGATTCCATCAACACCAGTAGATGTGTTTATACACTGAGGATTTCTAATCTACACATCCAGTCCCAGCCTCTTCTCTGAATTACAGACATTGATACAGCTTGAGGGGAGGAGAGTGGAATGCAGCCAATCAGAGAAGTGAAAGAAATAAGAATGAAAAAGGGTAAAAGTAGCTTAAGGGACTTAGGTAAGAATGTCAGGAGAACCAGTGGCACACTCTAGGGGTAATAGACAGAGAAAGGAGGGAAAAGAGCAGAAAGTTTGTTCAAAGAAATAATGGCTGAAACATTCCCTAACAGGGGGAGAGAAACAGAGACCCAGGCTCAGGAACCCAGAGATATCCAAATAAGAGGAATTCAAAGAGATCCCTATTTGACAATTTATAATATAATTTATAATTAAAGTGTCAAAACTTAAGAGGAGAGGATCTTAAAAGCAGCTAGAGAAGCATCTCCCTCTCTTCCTCTCTCTCTGAAATTCTGCTACTTATTAACAAAGTTTTTCTCTTGTATCCATTGTCTGCATTGCATTTCAAACACATTTTGGCTCAGTTAGGTAATTTTGTTAAAGTAAGATGGGGCTTAGGTAACACTGCCTCCCAAAAGTATTTCAGTTATTATAGCAGGGTTGTCCAAACTTTTGGCATCTCTGGGCCACTCTGGAAGAAGAAGAGTTGTCTTGGCCACACATTAAATACACAAACACTAATGAAAACAAAAAAAATCTCATAATGTTTTAAGTAAATTTACAATTTTGTGGTTGGGCTGCTTTCATAGCCATCCTGGGCCACATACAGTCTGCAGGCCATGGGTTGAGCTCTGGTCCCCTTTCAGAGGATGTTCAGGAAATTATTGGCTGTTCTATATTATTCATGGACATTAAAGAGCTGTCCACCCATATTCCTTGATTCTCATGGGCTCAGTAGTCTTCTGACAAAGAACATGGGCCTTCCACGAGGCCTTCAGTCATAAACAGAACCGTCTTCCGTGCATTATATTCAATTAGATTACAGATAGAGCTTGCAACAATGCCAGGATCCTCACGAAGCTTCAGCCACTACTTTTAATGCAGCTTATGAGAGAGCTACATGCTTGAGGAAGATTGAGAAGGAACATAAACTGCCTTTACACTGTGAGTGAAAGTTGGCCTGGTGGCCTATGTGGAATAGACCTTCCTATTCGGATGGGAGCAGAGGTCAGATACTGAGGCAGAGTTTTCAGGTCTTCTCAATTCTCTCCTTTTTGAGTTGATTCAATGGTCTTAATGCCAACTTTTTGGCCAGTTAGGGTATGGCTGTCTCAGAAAAGAAAAGAAATAAATGAAAGCACTACTAGTATATTTGTATAGCTCTTCTCCCAAGTATTTCTCTGTGTCTATGTAACCACCTGCTTCTAACAATAAAACGAGCCTTTTAGTTTGTCACCTTCACAAACTTCTCTAATGGAAAAGTATCAAAGATATACTGTAGGTTGCTATTAAGGTCTCATAATACTCATAAGGCTGAGAATTCACCTGTTACATTTTGCTTCTCAAATCACATTTGGCTGTACAATCCAATCTGGTACACCAGCATTTGCAATGTAATACACATCCTATTGATTCCTTCGGGAAATATTTACTGAACAGCTGCTATTTTAGGCACTGGCAATACAAAAATATGTAAGTAGATTATGCAGAGTTTATTTCTAGTTGAGTGGGAGTGTATCAGTAAATAAAAATATTTTAGGAGCTATGGGGAAAGTGAAACATTGTTAGGATGGATGAGAGCAGTATGAAGAAGCTACTTAACACTGTTATTAGTGTGTCAGTTAGGACTGGGTAGGATATGCTGTAGTAACAAATCAACTCCACAAATGTGGTGCCTTATAACAACAAAAGTGTATTTCTCAGATATGAGAAAGTCTGCAAAGTCTACTTTGTAAACTCTCCAAGTTAGTGATCCTTCACATAGTGACTCAGCAATCCAAACTACTGTAATCCTGTGGTTGCCTTTTCACCATGAGACATTTTTTATTATGATGGTAAGGGAAAAAGGGAGGTTCAAATATTGAGCGGGGCATCCCATTGACTCGACCTAGAAACAGCACATTTTATTCTACTCATGGTGCACTAGCCAGAATAAGTTAAATATCCTTACCTCAATGCAATAGAGTTTGGGACTACAAACTTCCACGTGTCCTTCAAAGAGAGGTTGTATTGGTGATGCTTACCACACCTGGGAAGACCTATCTGAGATCTGAAACTAAAAAGCCAGCTATTAGAAGCTAGCCAAGAGAAATATTTTAGGCAGAAGAGACAGGTGGAGCAAGGGCGCTAAAGTAGGGACAGAAAGACCAGTGCACTAAGGGAAGAATGGCACGAGATTGTGTCAAAGAGGAAATCAAGGGACAGATTACACAGGGCACAAAGCACAACTAGTTTGGTATTATCATAAATAAGATAAGAAATCTTTGAAGGTGTTTAGAAAAAGGAATGACATATTTTGATGTATATTGATAAAGAACAGACAGACTGATACATAGACACCTGCATGAAGGCAGAATTGGAAATGGTATTGATTACAAGTATTCACGTGAGAAGTAGCAGTGGTTTAATCTTGTGTGGTGTGGTAGTTTGCAAAATGGCCACAAATTCCTCTCATCCCTTTATGCATAATCTTGCTGAATGGATTTACTTTTCTTCCCATCAAAAAGTAGAGTCTATTTCTCCGTCCTTGAATCTGGGTTTGGCCTGGTGACTTGCTTTAGTGACACAACAAAAGCTTGGGGAAAAAAAAAGAAAACAACTGGCCTGTTGGAGTTTTGCTCTTCTGACCCTGGACATTCTTTACTGTCATGTGAACCAAGTCCCAGACCTGCATCATTGCAGATGAAGGTCCATGAGGACAGAGGTTCCAGCCATCCAAACCATCCCAGCCACCTCATGTAGGACCTCAAATATGTAAATAAGATCATTTAAAATCATCCAGTCAGCCCACACCAGAAGAATCACCCATGCGATACACATAATTATGAAAAATAATAAATGCTTGGTATTTGAGACAACTAAGTTTTGGGGTGTTTTCAATGCATCAGAAGTTAACTAATGGTTGTCAGGTAGCAGTAGTAGTAGTAAATGACAATGGGAAAAAGTAAATAAATTTAGAATATTTTTGAAGTAAAATTATAGGATCTGCTAACAGTTTAAAAACAGAGTAAGAGAATGAAGGAATTAAAGATAGCTATTAGGTTTCAGTATCATTTATTAAGATGAGTAAGTCATTCATAAGTAAGGGGTAGACCACTTACTAGGATTACCCACAATACCAACAGTGTGAAGTATTCTGAATTTACATAATATTTACCCTTTTGCATTATCATGTGTTCAATGAAAACCATATATCTCATAGCAGAATTAAGATACAAGTGGTTACAAGATATGTGATATAAATATAAACTCATTTAATTTATAATTAATTGCCTATAATTAGGCAAAACCTCTATATTTTTATTCATTTTAATTGGAAAAATCAGTATGAAGTAAGAATTATTTTTCTCATTCTAAAAATATGTATATTTGGTAACTTTACTCACTTGTCTAGAGGAAATAACAACCAACAGAAACACACAACCACTGTGCACAGATACTCATTATCAAACATTTTCCACTGAAAGAAACCAGGTATCCTTAGACAAATGGCTGATTTGTCATCTGAGCTGTAAATCTGAGATATCTTGTCATCTCTGAAGGCAAGGTAACTATAAAAGACTCTCGAGGTCGTGTACAAAAGACACAGAAGCCACTTTAGAAGTGCTCACACTGGTGAAAGATAAATGTGAGCATTAAAATAATAATTACTTAAATTCATTGAAAAGAATCAAATATATACATTAAAATCCATGTGTTTATAATGATACTAAAAAGAAAAAAAAACCTCTTTAGCTATTTTAGGATAGTTGCTAGATATCAACTGTTTTTTTTGTAAAAAATTGGTAAAGGGAAAGAAGCATTTATCCAGCCACTGCTGTATGTATATGTAAGATAACCAAGTGGGTAATGAGAAAAATTTCTTCTTTATACAAACTGGTACATATAGGAGAAATAATAAAATTCAAAGATAGCCATTTATAATTCCTAACTAAATGACAGGCAGCCATGACCAGGGCTCCCTTGAGCCATTATGTAAAAGATGATGGATGCTTTGACAAAGGCTGAAACCTCTTGGCCCATTTTCTTGTAATATTAATGTTACTAAGAGTGAATAAAGTAACCATTACACTTACTGATTCAATAGCCAGGGAAAGTATTAATTATAAACTCTTCTTGGTGTATTGTCAAAAATCTAGAAATAGCAAAATCAAAACCACCAACTCAACAAATAGTATTTAGTAGGTGTTTATTATGCATTTCAGAAGAGTTAGTGAACTGAGAGCTTTTAGTTTTAAAACTGAT